TTCTATGTAACTGGTTGACCCTTCCAGGCAAGGAAGACCTCATCACAGGTCTTCCAGGCAAGAGGAGCTGAAAGTAGCGACTCGCAAAAAAAAAAAAAAAAAAAAAAAAAAAAGGCTTACTGAGCGAATGGACGGGGAGGGTAGAAGGGCAGAGAAAGGAAAGAGGAGGACGGAGCGGGAATTTCTGAAGAAGCTCCGTCGATCCCCGCCCCGCGCCCCGCAAAGCGCTCCCCGAACGCCCACCCACCTCGCCCACTAACTGCTTCTTGTGAAGTTGGCTCCCGAGCCCCTGCCATCGTGGAGTGAAAAGGACAGGAGACGTCCCTGAGGGTAGGGACCCAAGGGCAGCTGCATACCCCTCATCTGCTCAACGCCTTTGTCAGCAGCTAACAAACCCTCCATCCCCGCCACTCGGGGGTCCCCGGCCCCTGACCTCCCCGCCCCACCCCCGCCCGGTCTTCCAACCTTTAAATTTAGCGCCCTCTGGCGACGTTCCAGTGAAGCTCGCTCACCAGACACTCTCCTAAAGAGGCACTGCTTCCACCCCAGCTCACACCATATTTTTACCCAATTCTCTGGCGTCCTAAAAACACCAGGGCCTCCAACACCTTCCTTTTTGAAGTGACCCTAATCCCTCCACCCGTGGCACCTTAATCTCCCTTTCCTGAGGACACACTCGCTCCCCAGCAAACGCCTCTGCACCTGACCCACAAACCTAGAGCTGGAGGGAACAGAAAGCACTTTTTTGTGTGTGCAGAGAATGCAAATAATTTTTGAAGTCAACAACAAAAGGAAAGCTGCAAAATACATGAATGTGTGAAAATTAACATTCCTGATAACCAAAGGGTAAAAGAATTCAAAAGAGAAGTCAAAAATATCTAAAAAATAACAGAGAAAGGAAACAACTCACCTTTATGAATGAACATATAGAATCTGCTTCCAGTGCACACTCTCCTGAGTCAGTGGCCTTGTGGCTCTTTGGGAATGGACAGCAGGAACCTTTGCAGTTGCTGTTCCTCCTCATTGACCTGGGCCTCTCGTTCTAGTAACACATTGCTGGTTTGAGAAGAGGCTTGGGTGCAGAAAATGACACAGGATCCAGAAAAATGAATGTGTGGAGTAGGAGGTCTTTGTCTGTTTCTCTCCTCTAAATGAGGAAAGGGCTCAGGGGCTCTCCCCGTCTCCATGAGCTAAGACTTCCCAGATGTCAGGGGCCGCTGGGACTCCCACTTCCTTCTGATAATGACAAGAATGTGATCAGGGTTTCCGCATGGGGTGGCCGAAGTCGTCAGAGTAATGAACACTTGGTAGTGGTATTGCACCTATGGATTCAGAGGTGGTTTGGCCACATCCACTTGTTTGGATAAGTGAGCCCCAAAGTTCAGAAGAACCCCCCCTTTTCCATCCCTTTACTTTTAGTATATGCGTGTCTTCCCTTCTGAGGAGGGTCACCAGTAGACAACATATGCATGGGTCGTGTTTTCTTACCCATTCAGCTACCAGATGTGTTTTTTGACTGGAGCATTTAAGCCACTTAACTTTAAAGTGACTGTTGATCAGTACATATGTATTGCCATTTTATTCTTTATAAGTATGTTCCTGTGTTTTACTTCTTCCTCTCCTTAAAGAAGACCCTTTAACATTTCTTGTAATACTGGTTTGGTAGTAATGAATTCCATGCTAAGTCAATAGTAATCAAAACAACATGATATTTGCATAAAAACAGACACATAGATCATTGAACCCAATAGAGATCCCAGAAATAATCCCACAACTTTAGAATCAATTAATATTTGACAGAGGAAGAAAGCATATACAATGGGCTAAAGACAGTTTATTCAATAAATGGTGTTGGGAAAATTGGGCTGATTCATGCAGGAAAATGAAAGTAGACCACCTTCTTATATCAACACAAGAATAAATTCAAAACTGGTCAAAGACTTAAATGTTAGACCCAAAACCATAAAAATCGTAGAAGAAAACATAGGCAACTAAATCTTAGACATTGATCATATAAATATTTTATCAGATATGTCTCTTCAGGCAAAGGAAACTAAAGAAAAAATAAACAGATGGAACTGCATCAAACTAAAAAGTTTTTGCACAGGGAAGGAAATCATCAACAAAATAAAAGGACAGCTCACAGTATGGAGAAAGTATTCAGTGATATATCTGCTAAAGAGTTAATATCCAAAATTTATAAAGATCTCTTATAGTTTCTATGTTCTTTTTCATACCTACTAACTCTTTTTTAAGTTCTCACTGAGTTTACCCAATCCTCCTCTAAGTTCCTTGAGCATCCTTATAACCATTGTTTTGAACCTTTATCGGCTAGATTGCTAGCCTCAATGTTATTTAGTTCTTTTTCTGGATTTATCCTATTGTGGGGGACTTGTTTTTGTCAACCCATTTCAGCAACTGCTCTGTGCTGGTTTCTGTGTATTATGTAGATCGGTTCTGTGTTCCATTCTTGGTAGGGTGGCCTTATGTAGTTGGTGTCTGGTGGGACCCAGTGGCCCAGTCCTTGATCACAGGTGTTTCAGGAATGTCCCCTGAGCATGTATTGTGAGTCCTCCTGTTGATCGAGTCTTGAATGCTGTAGGCCCTTCTGTGAATGGATCAACCCTCAGAGCCGACTGTGAGCATCGACCTTAACCACAGTGTATGAACTGCTGTGCAGGTGCTGACCACACAGAGTGGAATTTGCTTCAGCAGGTCATGGTGCCTGCGAGGACTCTCTTTGATGTGCTGCTTGTGAAGCTAATTGGATCCTGCTCTGATGTTGTCTGAGGCCCACTCCTGGGTGTCTTGTTTCTGGGACCTCTTTGCACAGACTCCAGTGTAAGCAATGTCAGACACTGCCTGTGACTGGCCCAGGGCAACCTGTGTGTAGCTACTGTGGAACCTAATGAACAAAAATACAAGCAAGCAAAATATAACCAGAGACATTGAAATAAAGAACGAAGTGACAGTATCCAGAGGGGCCAGGCGAGGGGGATAAAGGAGGAAAGAACGGGAAGGGTCATCAAGGAACATGTATAAAGGGCCTTTGGACAAAGCCAAAGTGGGGAGTGATTGAGGGTGGGAGGCGGGGATGAGTGAGGCAGGGGAAAGCGGGGACAGGAAAATGGAGACAAATGGATTTAAACAATAAAAAAAAGTTTTAATTTTGGAAAGTTTGTCAAAATATATCAAAAGGGATGGTCATTTGACTAAATACAATGTCATTATGAAACAATAATAACTCTCCATTAAACCAAAGTGACAAGAAAACATTTCAAGGCAATAAATAAATAAATATTTAAAATATGAACAATAAAATCTCAATGACCACCAATCTATCAACAAGTGAACATAAAAAAACAAAATAAACAAACAAGCAGAACACAAACAGAATCCTAGATAAAGAGAATGTTTTGATGGTTGCCCATTGGGAGGGCACCAGGGTAATGGGTGAAAACCATGAGGGGATTAAGAAGTACGAATAGATTCAGCCCCGAGATCTCGCCAGCTACTCTCTCAGTTCTCTCCCCAAAGCCTCCTTCCCCAGTGGGTCCTCAGGCGTCCCTAGCCCACTCTGCCCCGCCTTTGCCAGAGACCAGGATTTGAACATGGAATTCAATCCTTCAGACCATCCTCGGGCCAGCACAATATTCCTCAGTAACTCACAGACAGACAGAGAAAAACGCAAGAGTCTCTTCATTAACCATCCTCCTCCAGGACAAATAGCAAGGAAATACAGTTCCTGCTCCACGATTTTCCTAGAAGATAGCACAGTCAGTCAACCAAACCTCAAGTATACAATTAAATGTGCAGTTCTCACAATATATTATCACATCAAAAACAGGGACTCAGATGGAAGGATGCTCTTAGATATTTTTGATGAAAACCTTCGTCCTCTTTTGAAATCCGAAGTGCCACCAGATTATGACAAACACAACCCAGAGCAGAAGCAGATTTACCGTTTTTTCGGACACTGTTCAGTGCTGCTCAGCTCACGGCTGAATGTGCCATTGTCACTTTGGTGTACCTTGAAAGACTTCTAATATATGCAGGGGTAGATATCTGTCCAGCCAACTGGAAGTGAATTGTCCTTGGGGCAAGCCTGCTGGCCTCCAAGGTGTGGGGTGGCCAGGCTGTACGGAATGTGGATTGTTATCAGATCCTGAAAGACATCACAGTGGAAGATATGAATGAGCTAGAATGACAGTTTCCTGAATTGCTTCAGTGCAACATCAATGTTCCTTCCAGTGTTTATGCCAAGTATTATTTTGATCTTCGTTCTCTGGCAGAAGCAAATAATCTGAGCTTTCCTTTGGAGCTCCTGAGCAGGGAGAGGACTCACAAACTTGAGACCATCTCTCGCCTCTGCGAGGATAAATACAAGGACCTGAGGAGACCTGCGAGGAAGCGGTCAGCTAGTGCTGACAATCTGACTCTGCCAAGGTGGTCCCCAGCCATCATCTCCTAACTGTGGGCATCACCACTGGAAGCTGTTCTATCCCTCAGTTTCTCCTTTAGTTTGAGAAAAGGTGGTTTTGCTTTTGTTTCTTTCCTTTTTTTAAATTCATAGTTCCATCAGGCTGCCTTGATTACTGTCTTCGCTCTGTGTGACCCACACATAATAAGGCTCTGAGGGAAGCAAAATCCTGTTTCACATCTTACCCGGTCATTAACAGCACTTCCTTCATGAAGGAAGAAGACTCTATTCCTGGAGGAGGAAGTAAAGGGGAAGGGAAATTGTGTAGAGGCAGGAAAAATGGTTAAATGACACTCCCACTTTTTAAGTTTCCCATCTGGTCAGTAGCCGAATACGAGGGAAAACACAATAGTAGGTAACCCAGTTAGAGGTGCATTAAGAACAAGAGTGCCGCCTGTATCCAAAAAAAAAGAAAAAGAAAAAGAAGTATGAATAGATAGTTACAGAATAGCCACAGGAATGTCAGGTACAGTGTGGGAAATGGAGAAGCCAAAGAACTTATAGTTCATATGCGTGACCCATGGACATGGACAACGGTGCAGGTATCGCCCAAGGCAGTGGCGGGGGGCTGGGCAAAAGGAGGCAAAGGGGAAAAATTGGGACAATCGTAATAACATGAACAATAAAATATAATTTAAAAAATTAAGTGAAAGAAAAGACAGCTTTTCAGGGTTTTCCTGAGTGCCCTCCCACCCCCTTTCCTCCACCCCATCCTCACTGAGGGAGGGAAGGCCATGTCCACAGCAAAGCTGCCACTGAAGGAGGGTCACCGCCCAGCGTGCATGGAGGCCCATACGAAGGCACCCGCCTGCGAGGACTGAGTGTTATTTGTGAGTCCACTGGCTGGAGGACAGGAGGCAAGCCTTCAGTCTGTGTTCTTGATCCAGGATTGAAGGCGACCTTTTAAAAGGGTAACAGTTAAGGATTCACAAGTGTAACTCGTAAGCGGTGTATCCAAGGATTAATCTTTGCGTTTGGGTTAGAAACAGGATAAGACCAGGTCCTGCAGTTACCATGTTTCTACTGCATAATCTCTGCACCTGAGTCACTGGACCTGTTAGGCCACAGGGCCAAGCTGACTCATCAGACTCTTACCTTCTGTGATTGACGGTTGGTGGCCTCAGTGCCTGCACCTTGATGCAGTTGAGGTGAGGTAAACTCAGGCTCTGCACCTGGAAGGCAGAAAACTCCAGACTCTGACAGACGCACGGATTACCTGTGCTGAGAGAGAGGCGGAAAGCCACTGGTCCCAGTGCGGAGAAGCAACAACTGGCAGAGCAGCAGCTCTGGTTGCTGAGGGTTCTCTGCCAGTGAGGCCAGGCTGGGCGCGAGGCCCAGATGCCCTTGCTGCCTGACTGTGGGCCACCTTTTGGGCCTCAGCACAGGGCCCTTTTCAGGTTTGGGCGAGGGAAGCGAGAGAAAAGAAAAGATGGACACAGGGCAGTAGGGGAAGAACAAGAAGGGCAAAAGGAGAGAGGACGTAGGTGGAAGATGAGAGAAGAGAGGAGCTCACAGACCTTCCACCAATCCTGCTCACGTCTTTGAGGAGACTGGAGAAAGGTTACTCAAAGTGAATTTCTTTGTTTCTGTACACCCACTCCTTTTTTCAGTGAGTAATTGTATTGATTGCAAAACTCTATCATAGGAATAAATTTCCCCATATGAGGATCACTGGGACCTCGCTGGTCTGCTGGAGGGCGTGTACCCATTGGTCACTCCCAGGATAATCTATATTTATTATCCCCTGCCTGGCTATCTTGCCAGGACTGCTCATCAGCATGTTGGGAGCATTTCTCACTTCTCGTCTTTGTCCTCTACTGCTTCTGGTACAAGCCTGGCAATTACTGCAGGACAGTGAGTGTACCGGGATCTGGAGTCTTGGCTGAGGAGGGGGAAAGGGGAAGGGGGCTTCATGCAGGAATCAGGCAAGTAGGTGGGTGCCTGTCCAGGTGCTCCTAAGGGTAGGTGTGGGTGTGGCATGGCTGGACCGACACCCCAGGACGTTGCTCTTTCTGGAGGGGTCTGGGCCGGGAGGGGGTCAGCCTCCAGCCTGCCAGTGGTGCGTGGGGGTCCTTGACTTCGTGTAGGAAAGATTTCACAGCATAAGTCCAGGGGATTTTGAGAAAACATTTATTAAAGCTGGGGACAGTGAAACAAAGGAAAGGCTTGAGATAGAAGAAGCAACATGAGATAGACTAGGCGGGGCTGCTTTGGCTCCCTAAGAAATAGAAGTTACCGTAGAAGAAATGAGCTCACTGGGAAGTCGGAGCAAACGGGGGCCTTGGAGACAGGCTTGGAGGGTAAACCCAAGAGGAGCTGCTGCTGGCCCCTGCTGCCCTGCCTGCAAGTCCTGTGAGGTCCCTCAGAGTTTAGGAAAAAAACAGAGACCCAGGCGGGAGTGTGCTCTAGCAAGAGCAGCCCTGGATTCTTGGTCTTGAGGCTTTTTATTTTTCTTTGTTGATTCATCAGAATGAGTGTGTAAAGGGAGCAAGGTTATTTTTTCTGTAGTTTTATTTTTAAAGAACATTATTGAAGAAGGACCAGGACCAAAGTTGGTTTGCTCTGGGATGGTCTGGAATGTGTAAACCATTTGCTCTGGGAAGATAAAACTTTGTGATTCATTAGCTGCCTGCAAATTGCTCAAATTGCTTGGCCTTGTTTAATTACTTTGGGTCCGTTTCCCTTATTCTGCTCGTGAAGGAATTTTCCTAACTTTTCTCTCCCCTGCCTCATTACCTTCACCCAGGTCGCAGGGGACCGCACCCCATACTGTGCTCGCTTGCCCCTGAAAGCTCCCCCTCTCCTGCCATGTCCCACCTCCTCCGGGAAGCCTTTCCTGAATAGCCTGCACTCATTACGAGTGCCGTGCCATGTGTTCTTCGCTGATGTCGTTCTTCCTTTTGTGTTTTACTTCCTGCCTCTTCAACTTGATTTTAATTACTGGCAGGACAGATAAAATCTTGTGTTTTTGTATTCACAACTGGTGAATGTCATTAAAAACATCTGTCAGATGAGTCCTCCTGGTAACAGAGCATGTGGTAAGATCAGGGTACTTTCCTGAGCAGCAGGTAGTTAAAGGGGAGACAGGACTGAGGTTGCAGAGATGCAGGGCGCTGGGCTGGGGGCCCCTCTCGCAGCAGCCAGGCCCTTCAGAGGGAGCCCCCAGGCCACCCCTCTGCTTTGTTTTTTTCCCCACAGGTGCTCACTCTCTTGTCCTCAACTTTACTGTCCAATCGCAGTCCAGGCCAGGACAGCCCCAGTGTGAAGTCCAGGGCTCAGTGGACAAAGAGCCTTTTTTTCAGTATGACAGTGACAGCAACGAGGTCAAACCTTTGGGTGTCCTGGGAGAGAAGGTAAAGGCCACAAAAACATGGACAGAATTACCCCAAATGCTTCAAGATGAGGGGAAAGAGCTCAGGATGATCCTGGCTGCCATAAAACTGGACAGAAACAAGACCAGGGGTGAGTGAGGGGAGGGGAGGGAAGGGGAGGGAAGGGGAGGCGGACACAGTGAGCAGGAGGGGGAAGGAGGGGCACAGGCAGGGAGGGGCCCTGGTGGAAGGAACTGCACTGCAGTCCAACCTCAGAGCCACGGTGGACCTAAGGGCAAGAAAAGGGCATGGCGTGCAGAGGAGTTTGCAGCCCCCACATGTGCAGAGACACGCTTGACTGTGGGAGATGGCGGAGCTCTGAGAGGCAGGACGTCATCCCTGTGTGTGCCTGCAGGTCCCCCCACCCTGCAGGCCGAGGCGTCCTGCCGGTGTGAGGGAGAACAGTGCACTGCAGGGCCCTGGAAGTTCAGCTTCAATGGAAAGACCGCCCTCCTCTTCGACCCAAGAAGCATGAACTGGACATTCGTTGATCCTGGAGCCAGTGGCAACAAGGAGAACTGGGAGCACCTGGAGGAGGAGTTCAAGAAGCTCTCCAAGGGACACTGCAAGTGCTGGCTTAGGAAATTCTTAGTGCACTGGGAGGGAGTGCTGGAGCCCACAGGTGAGTGAGCAGGGCGCGGAGGACATGGTAGCCGTCATTAAGGGTCTAATGCCTCCTTGTGTTGGTGTGAGAGTGTGTGTGGGTCATAGAAAGTTTGACAGATGGATGGACTGACTGGTTTCTTGGCAGCCTTCCTATCTAGAGAGTCAGGGACTGCCGTGAGATTTCCCATCACCCCCCTTTCCCATCCCACCTCCCTCAGCACAAGAGTTCCCACCTTCACTAAGCAATGATCCAGGCATCAGGGACTACCAGATGGCCCCAAATCTCTATGCATTATAATGCTTCCAGGCCTTCTCTTCTTCCTGTGTTTCAGTTATCCTATAACCAGGTCAAAGGTCACATTTTATGTAGCCCTTGCTTCTCTCCTCAGATAGAATTAAGCACCCCTAATTCTGTCATCCCCAAAAAGGCCTACACATAGTAAGGTCTAGAAACTGTTTGATAATCAGATGGACATTTACTATCTCCCTCAGTAGAATATGAGACCCTTGAGGACAGAGCACCTCCCCTGTACATCTTTACACCCTTGGACCTAATAGAGTGGCTGTCCCATGATGAGCCAGTAAATATGGGGGCAAACTGTGCTGCCTGGGAAAATAGGTGCTGTTTAGGTGTTGTCTCATATTTGATAGGGCTTTTGCTTTTTTGTTTGTTTTAGTAACACTATTACCACCCTCAGCATTCCCTCCAAGTACGCAGGGAAGCACTTCACTGAATACCGGTGCAGTCAACTTCACTCTCCTCAGCATCAGCGTCGGTGGCGTCATCGTCGTCGTCGGCATCATCTTCTTGGTTATTAGGATGCATAGATCAGGCAGGGTGGGAGGTAAGTAGCGGACTGGCCTCTGGCTCTTGGGCAGGGTGTAGTCTGGCGAGGACTTGGGAGAGGTGAGCCACGGTCTCCCAAACCCTTCTGCCCTCATCCATCTCTACGTAGAAATGATGCACTTTGTTAGTGCTGAGCCCCCGCACTCCAGAGGAGCCATTTGAAATCATGTACAGGAAAGTGTTCAGCAAACTTTGAAATCATACACAATTGTTGGTTAACATATTATCAACATATTTATTTTTAATATTCATAGTTATAATAACTAGTATTTAAAAGGTGTGATGATACCTTCATGGATTTTTATCACAAGTGTGAGTTTCTCCTCATAACAAGCCTACCTAAGCTCTCTGAGGCCTAAGGCCAAATAAAAATCTTTACGCTGCTTCAAGGGAATCTTACAGCGACCGCAGTTGTGCAGGGCGAGTATCTCACGGGGGCGGTGGGGGCAGGGGGAGGCCCTGCGGCCCACCATGGTGCACTCCAGACAGAGCTTGGGCCGAGAGGCCACGTTTTTCTGCCTCAAATTCACTAGGAGATGGACCCCAAAAAACTTTACAATTTCTCCTTTTCATGGAATGACAAATATTGAGCTAATTTTTTCCCTTTCTTTTTTCTATTTTTACCTTCTAGTTCTACCTCCTACTCTGTTCTGGGTCTGAAAGCTATAGTTTCCTCAATGTTTGTCCTGAAAATAAAACGTTATAGTAGAGACTGCATTTTTTCAATCCAGTTATTTATTTTTGCCCTTCTAAAAAAAAATACAGACATTTAACCATGTAAAACTCATAACGTTCAAATGTGCAATCAAAAAATATTCGGACATGCTAAAAAGCAACAAAATGTGATCCATAATCAGGAGAAAAACGAGTCAGTTGAAACTGACTCAGATATAAACAAGTTGCAGAAGCTGCTCGCAGGCAGCTAGAACTCTCCAGTATAGCCTCCCTTGGGTTGGACATTTTCATATACCTTACTGTGTGTTAAAACACACCTCCTTTTGATCCAGCGTGACCTAATTGAAGGCCCCTCCACAGGCTGTAGAGAGAAATTATCAGGTCCCCACAGTTGGCTGTGTTCATATTTCTAGTTATGTTTGTAGAAAACCAAATAAGTGTGACTACTGATTTTTATATTTTTCAACAGCACTGTGTTGCCCAAGTACAACACCTCAGGGACCTAATGTGGGAACAATCAGGGACGTTGGCGATGAAGAACTGAATATGGTGTCTCATGGTTCCCCGGATGAGCTCGTCGATGTATCCGGAGTAGTCCCTGAAGTCACAAGGATTCGTGGAGAGCCCCTCCTCCCCGAGAGTTCATGCTCCTTTGAACTCATACCCTTAGGAGGTCTGAATAGTTAATAATAATAATTTTTAAGAAGGTTGGCTTTATCAACTGTGCCAGGCAGTGGCTAATTAGATCCTACAGCATAATGTTGTGAAGACCACTAAGACTTCCAGAATTTTCTGTTATCCTGTCTCATTTCAGCATTGATACAAACTTTCTGTCCCCCCAAACCTTGTTTTCTCATTTTAGATCCTGGAATACCGATGCTGCAAAATGAACATGAGTGATGCCTTTATGCCACCTGCTGTTGTCCATAGGATGTTGTGGTGAGAGTCAGCATACATCCTGGTTAGTGGAATATATGAAAAACCAACACTGAACTGATGCACGGTTTTACATGCCATAATTTTAAAAAGGTATGCAGCAGGTTTATTTCACAGACTAGAGCAGTAGAGCAGGTTGTTCTGAGGTGCAGAGTATTCATAAGTAAAATTGGCCCTGGCCAGTGTGGCTCAGTTGGTTGGAGCGTCATCCTATGACGTACGGGTTTTGGGTTCGATTCCTGGTCAGGGCACATACCTAGGTTGCGGGTTTGATGCCCTGTACAGGCATGTACAGGAGGCAACCAATTGATGTTTCTTTCTCTCCCTATGAGGATAGATGAGGAAATTGAGGAGCCCTAGGAGGGTGATGGTAGTGGTCGTTCACCTTATTAACTCATAAAGACTGTGAAATAGAGAAATATTATAGAATGAGTTATTTTTTAAAAAGAAAGAAAGTTTGGCTTTGATATAAACCCTGTCCTGATTCACGGGTGCTGACAACCACTGTATAGAACAAGAGCAGAGAAGACTTTTTCAACACTTTGACAATCATACATGGAGTCTCTGTCAGCCATGACAGTTATGTCAAGTGCCATGTCAAGACAGAAAATGAGGTGAGACAGAATGCACAAAACCACAAGTCTGGACACTGGATAAGGACTCCATCTGGACACTGATAAGAATGGGACCTTCACTCCTGGTGGGCTCTGAGAACTCCGAGCCCTGACCACCAATGCAGGAGCCTGGCTGTACCTGCGGTAACTGCCCCAAGCCCTGCCAGACTTGCACTCCACCCCACAGGTGCTACTGTAGAACCGTGGCTTGAGACCCATGCCCACAGAGATAGGATGACATATAGAAGACAAAATGGTGTCACTCATGTCAGCCATGACACTTTGGTTCAAGAAGGAAACCACCTTAGTCATGCCAGGCGCCGTGCTGAGTGCCTGCCAGAGCGGCACACCACACCCGTGTGTTTGCAGAGAGGGCACGCCTAGTGATAGAGCTCTGAGGGCTCTCGGCCCCAAGCCACAGAATTCCCTAGTTCAATCAGGTGCCAAGAATTGGGGTATAATGGACGTGGACTTCAGAGCAACCGCCAAGACTGAAGACTTCCGACCTCCAGAAGCTGCTCCTCTCACACTCCGGGCCACGCGCGGCCGGGGGCTCCGCCCAAGCAAGGCTCCGCTCAGGCTTCTGCTCAGGCTTCTGCTCAGGCTTCGGCCTCCGATCCGGTGCGCGGAGATCTTCCTTACGGAACGGTCCTCGCCCGCTGCGCTGTCTCCCGAACCTGGGACTGTGCCTGTGGGACTTGGGTTCTTTGTCCCTCATTTACTGATGTGTGTTGCGGTGATTGTGTGATACCACAACAGGCTATTAATGTGATACTGATATTCTAGTTTGTGTCAACCTGCCCTTAAAAGTTCAATTGAGCAATAAAAGTTGCGTTGAGCAATAGCTTTTGTGGCTCTCCTCTCCTTCCTTGCCATTGCCGGGTATAAACTCAGCCAAGTGACAAACAGGGAAGACTCGAAAGCGACCCTCTCTCTTCCAGAGGTGCAACCACTGGGGTCATGACTGAGGGCGCTTCAGACACCGGCCCGTGTCTGGGACGTGGCGCCGCGCCGCTCGTTCTGCTCACCTCCAGGCGTACGTTCCCTCTCCGTGTGTGATCAGCATGTGACCCTGCCGGCTTAGTGGCGGGGTCTCCCCTAGTAAAGCCGCCACTGTGGAAACACACAAACGTGTGTGACTCGTCCCGGCCGCTCCCTAGCTCCGGCCGCTCCCCCAGCCCGGCGCTCCCCGCAGCTCGCCTCCCAGCTTTCCTTTCCCTCTGAGTGGTACAGGCTGGGAGCGGGCGGGGTCGCTGCGAGCCAAGGAAGGGGCGGAGTCGCGGGCGGGGACGGAGCCACGGGAGGGCGGCGGGAGGGGACGGCGCCGCGGGGACGGGGGGAGCTGGGGGGGGCGGGACTGGACGCGGCCGCTGTTCACGATCGCGGTGCTGATCCGCGCAGAAAGCCCCGCGCAGAAAACAGGCGCAGGGGCGCGGGGAAACCTCCCGAAAGGACGAGGAGCAGTGCCAGGTCGTGCGCGCTATGACTCCTGCGGCTGCGGTTCCAGCCGGCGACTGCGCGCCCGCAGCCTTGGGGGCGCCGCGGGGCCCCGAGGAGGCCGTGCTTTGAGGCTCCAGGGTCTCTGCCCGCCGCGGCCGCGCAGGAGGAGCACAGGGCCGGCGCTTGCCTGCCGGCCTCGCACTCTACGGCCCATCTCGGCTCCCGTGTTCTGCTGCCGGCCGCCATGGCCTTTGCCGCCGCGGGGAGCGCGAGCTCGGAGCGCAGGCGGCCGCCGCGGCACCCGGCGCTGCGCGGACTGCTGCTGCTCTGCCTGTGGCTGCCGAGCGGCCGCGCGGCCGGGCCGCCCCCCGCGCCGCTGACGGAGCTGCACGCGCAGCTCTCGGGCGTGGAGCAGCTCCTGGAGGACTTCCGCCGGCAGCTGCAGCAGGAGCGGCCTCAGGAGGAGCTGGAGCTGGAGCTGCGCGCGGGCGGCGGCCCCCAGCAGAGCTGTCCCGGCCCGGGCGGCGGCCGCTACAGCGCCATGTCCGACGTCATCATCCGCATCAAAGACTCCATCGCGGCGGGCGCCAGCTTCCTGAGGGCGCCGGCGGCCGTGCGTAGCTGGCGGCAGTGCGTGGCGGCCTGCTGCTCCGAGCCGCGCTGCTCCGTGGCCGTGGTGGAGCTGCCCCGGCGGCCCGCGCTCCCGGACCCCGCGCTCGGGTGCTACCTCTTCAACTGCACCGCGAGCGGCCGCAGCGTCTGCAGGTTCGCGCTGCACCGCGGCTACAGCAGCTACAGCCTCAGCCGCGTTCCGGAAGGGCAGCAAGACCCGGAAGCCGGCGTCCCGGCCACCGCCCGGGCCTCGCCTCGCCCGGGTAAGCGGGCCGCTGAAGGGGGCTGCGGCCAGACCGCTGGGGCCCTGTTGCCCTTGCACCAGTTATGTGGCTGCATCTGGAAGACTCGCCTGGGCATGACCGCTGGGCCCTCCCCAGCCAAGGCAGAAATGCAACACCCGTGTTCCAAGTTACCTTAGTTGCGGGGATCCAGAGGAGTGGCTTTGATTTCTCAGTCTTAGAGCTGGTTTCTGAAAAATCCCTGTAGATTGGGCGGGCGACTGGTTTTGCAGTTTTTCTACGCTTGGTGATAGAGAGGCTGAGCGCATTCACGGAAATTCAGTTTAAAGGAGAAAAGCTCAGAGAGAAAAACACATAGAACACCCCCCCCCCACCTGTTTATTTTAATCTCAGATTTTAATAGGGTATGGCTTGTGTCAAATAACTGCAAGAGCAAAATCTAATTACATCCCAGATTACTCATAACACACCGTTTCTTAGTTTGGCTCTCCCGACTCCTGGTTCCACCTATAGTTGCTTTGATCAGATAAAAATGGGGAAGAGCACGTGTCAGGTGTTTTTGAAGTGGATCCATGCACTTAATTTTAGTTAAAAATAAAGTTTAGGTCACATCCTCTTTTCAAAAAGAGCTAAAATCCTGCTTTTCAAGGGATAGTTGTGCTTTCTGCAGATGTTCAGAATGAGAGAATCAGGACACAGAGAAGGAGGCACAAAACGTTGTAGTAGTTGGAGATGAAGGTCACTGAGGGTCTAAAGCCTTGACTGTGGTCAGCTCAGTGATCACTCACTGTTTGATTCAGGATTAGAGGAGCAGGCTCCGTAGGTTTGGAAATCTGGAGTCTCAATGACCTGCAGGGCCAATGGCAAGGGTCTGGAAATCTGTGTGCACAGTGCCCTACCCACCTCCACGAAGGAGGAGGCTCAGAACCCTTGTCATAGGAGCAGACAGCGAAGGTCACTTTGAAGCCTCATCCTCGAGGCAGACACTGGGAAGGACCTCATTTTTTTCCCTGAAGGGGGGGGCAGGAGGCATTTTTACATAGACCCCCACCAGCATCCCTGAAAGGGGCCTCTGGCTGATACACATGTATCCTTCCTCTGTGTGCAAACACAGACTCAAAAATCCCAAGAGCAGAAAACCAAAATCCCTCTTCCTTATTCTCTGTGCACATTTGTAAGAAACCAACATCATCATCATCAGTTCATGTGGAGAAAGACTAGAACAGTACTCACCAAAAATGATGATAATCATATTGAGGTTATGGATCTTTTTTCTCTAACGTGTTGCAATTTTAAAAATCACGATTTAAAAAATGATGGGATTTTACCCGTACTACCTAAGCCTCTTTTCCAGTCTGGCCCCACTTCGACTTCAGGAGGCCCTACTAAAGTCTCAGCCTCTGCTCTATCATTTGTGCCCACACAGTACAGATTCAGATTGCAGAAGCTCTTCCTTGTCATTAAGGCTGTGTTTACAGCTGTGTGTTATAAACCAGATTAGTTAACAGTATAATTATTCTCTGTATAAAATACCACCTTTACCTGTACCACCAAAATTGGTGTGTCTTTTCTTTGTAGATTTTACCAAGACGTTTAGGTTTTTTAAAAAAATCAGTATTACCATAGTACTTAACATTGGTTTATTACATTTTTATGATGCAAATTCAAAATTACATTTATCTTGTGCTTCATCAGCAAATCAACTTTTTAAGTGTAGCATACTCCTTTCCTCTTCTTATCATCATTTGTTTATTTTTTTAAAGGCCTGTTACTGAGTAGATAAGCTCTGGCTCATTTTAAAATACACTGCATAGTGTTCTCTGGCTAGTGTGGCTCAGTGGATTGAGTGCCGGCCTACAAACCAAAGGTTCGCTGGTTTGATTCCTAGTCACGGCACATGCCTGGGTTGCAGGCCAAGTCCCCAGTAGGGGGCGTGGGAGAGGTAACCACACATAGATGTTTTCTCTTTCTTCCTCCTTTCCCCTCTCTCTAAAAATAAATAAATCCTTTTTTTTAAATAAATAAATAAGTAAATAAAAACATTGTACAATGTAATTTGCCGGGACTTGAACTGAGAAGGGAATGTGTCTCTGTTATTTCAAATACAACAGTGATCAATTTAGAGGATATGAAGGTTTCACTGTGCTCTTAAATCATATCTTAAAGCTCACGTAAGGAAAAGTAAATAATTAAAAGATGGGTTTTTTTCTTCCTGGAAAGCAAGATTAATTAGTTTTAAAATATATGGGATATTTCAGCACTTACCTGATTCTTCTTTCTGAAATCTTTGGGGTTAAATCTTTGAGGGTTGAAATACGTGTGTGTGTGTGTGTGTGTGTGTGTGTGTGTGTATACTCATATGCATTATTAACATCCATTGCTGTTTATAGCATATAGTTAGTCATATTTCAGCTTCTCTACTTACAAATAGTATTTTAAGATAAATTTCAATGCAAGTAGCTGGTAATCCTAATGTAGTATTGCAGAATTACATGATGCATTCCAAAATTATAAAGTAGTAAACCGTTGTGTGGAAAACCAGAACCAAAGGAGAGTTCTCTATAAATCTCTATAAAAGGGCCCATTAATAATGCAGTTGTTACATCTCTTTTTAACTGTGAGAAGCAGAATAAAGACATTGGGCATGGACCTTTGCTAAGACATGGAAAAAGTCAGAACAAGTTTCTTCTTAAGCAGTGGCTTATTGAAATCTGAGTTACAAGTCCCCAGTGTTTTAAAGAACTATAAAAATGAGACTCATTATATTCTCAGTAAACATTCAAGTATGCTTATTCCTTGTAACATGCTCATTAAAAAAGTCATCTCCCTTTGAGGCTGGCAGCAGCCTTTTCATTGAGAAAAGTCGCAGCTCAAAGAGCTGCAGGCCGCTCACATGGAACGCCTGTTTCTGGGCCTTGAGAGAATCACTAGTTGAGAAGATAGTGCTGGACAAGTAGATCTCTAAACATCTGAAAGGGAATGGTAACTTGTCGGAGGATTTTTAGGTTAGCATTCCAGAAGCATCATTCTAGCTGCAGTATATCAAGAGCAACTACCTGTTGTTGCCTCTTGGGAAACTCCTAGGATTGCAGCTGGCCTCACACCTCAGGCACTGGGACACCTGGAACCCACAGAAGTTTTCTTAGGAGACAGCTTTGGCTTAGAGGGAGAAAGGCAGTGACTTACCTCCAACCTCGTCCATACTTAGTTAAGGAGGAGCAAGTCCAGGCTGGCATTTAGACCAGAGCTTTGGCATTGGAGGACAGAGGAAATAATAGATGCCAAAAAGTGTGTATACCACCCCATAGAGTTTGTTTCAAGTGATATTACTAAGTTTCTTTAAAATATATGTGCATTTGGGTAAACTTACTAATAAGCTTAAATCAGTTAATATAGTTACAACTCTGCTGTTAGAAATGCAGCTTCTCCCATCAGTCATTACTGAAGTAGCTGTCAGTTAATTATTAATACTGAAGTGGATATAGCCCTGCCTGGTGTGGCTCGGTGGATTGAGCGCTGGCCTGCAAACCTGAAGGCCGATCCATGTTTCTCTTGAAGGCCGATCCATGTTTCTCTTGCTCGATGATGTTTTTCTCTTTTTCCCTTCCCTTCCCCTCTCTCTGAAAATAAATGAATAAAATCTTTAAAAAATATATTTGAGTATAAGTAGCCTTAAACTACTTAGTTATTAAGAACTGTGAACTTCTGCTTCCCTAGATGAAAAACTAGACTCCAGAAACTTTCGTGTGGGCTACATTTTGTATGGGTTCAAGAACTTGTCTGAACTTTCCAAATTGTTTCCCATCCATCGAACATTTGATATCACTCCTGTTTGACACACTTTTGAGGATAAGAAAATTTATATCAGAGGTGGATTTGGTTTTGTTTAACATTTGTTTCCAGAATAGTTGTTATAAATTCACTTAACAGAACTTTGAACATAAGTAGTTTATAAATTAAGTGAAAATTTCACCCAGGAGAATAAAACTACTTCAGATTCACACATTGGAGGGCCTAGTTCACTGCCATATACCTGCAAGTTTGTTCTTGCTATTGCTCATACCTGACATGTCACACTTTTCCTTCTGCATGTATTACAGCTAAATTTTGTATTCATAATTATTGCCATTTTATTTATTATGTAAAGAGAATACAGTGAAAATCAATAAGAAAACAATTTTCAGTTGCAAGATATTTTCTTAGCAGTTCTTTGCTGGACTACCTCTATCCTAGTAAACAAGGTACATCTCAATTAGAAAGAATAGGGAATCATCTCTCCCGTGAATTATTTTCTTCCACAGAAAAGGATGAACCTCCACTTAGCAAGGCCGGGCAGGATGTGGTTTTGCGTCTGCCCACGGACGAGGTGACTTTGGATGGCCGAGAGAGCACAGACGACCATGCCATCGTCCGGTATGAGTGGACACTGCTGCAGGGTGACCCATCAGTGGACGTGAAGGTAACTATTGTCTTTCTTCATTGTCATGGAAATAGATGTTTCAGTGAAGTGGTCTTTGGTACTGTCTTTCCATTTATGTTTCCAAAAGGCCTGTCAGCTAGCAGGAAAGGTATAAAATGGAGAAAGTATAAAAGCAATTGTCAAAAAAATGCTTTAGTCTGTGAATTTACTTTTCTACTGAGTAAACAGTGATTCTCATCATTTGTTTTGAAGCTTACTTTGTTCTTGCTGCTCTTTTGTTGACTTCTCCAGTATACAAAAAAGCTTTGAGGAAAAAGACTCATGCTTGTTTTAATGACTCAGATTACTGTTTAAAATTTTGATTTCTTCTTTTCTTAGTTCAAGATCCAGGTAGAAAATTTGAAAAACACAAAGGAGCATGAGGAGGAAAATAACATCATAATGAACTCATTCTCGACACAATCCAGAAAGCAGGCATCTTACCCAGCAGTCAGGCCTGGCTGAGAGAGCCAGCCAATAAGTGCGCGCGCCACCCTGATTCCCGTCAGGCTCCTCTGGGCCGGGCTGCGGTTGGTGGAGGTAGGAGTGAGCCACAGCTGCAGGCGCACTGAGCCTTGAGTCCTGAGGCTTGTTGTTAACCCCGCCAGGACCACTTCTGGTTAGCAGTATTTCCTGGTTTAGGAAGATAAACTTCACCCAAACCGCTTTAAACAGCGGAAGTGGGAAAGATCTGTATTTGTTTGCCAGGGCTGCCACATAAAGAACCACACAGACTGTGTGGCTTAAGCAACAGACGCTATTTATCTCCTCACAGTTCTGGAGGGGAGAAACCCCAGATCAAGGTTCCAGCAGGGTTGGCTTCTTCCAAAGCCTCTGCTCTCGGCTTGTAGTTGGTTGGCTGCCTTTTCCTTCCTGTGTCATCTTCACATGATCTTACCTCTTTGGGAAATAGTGATTTATATTCTCTTGAAACAGAAACAGGAACTGATCACCTAGTCCCTCAAGACTGATTTACTCGGCGGTTATGTAGTCTTAGAATTGGGCTGGGCCCTTGTTTAGCATGGTACCATCTCCCATCCATATAAGAGCCCCTTCTGTGACACCCGTTTGGGGATCTCCCACTCTCTGCCTAGATATCTCCAGAGCTGAGCACTCACTACTTCACATCATGTCCTATGATATCTTTAAACAGCTGTAATTATTAGACAAACAAGATAGGTCCCCTGTTAACTTCTGTGCATTCCCAGCCTCTCGGGAGCTCTCATTGTTTGGACTTTCCCCCACCTACGTAGCCCCATCCGAAGTCCTTCTCCCACCTCCCACCCTTCGCCCCTTCCCTCACCTCCTGTGGGAGACAGTCAGCCCTCCTTTTGTCTTGCAACAGTTTATGACCAGGTTGAAGGACCTATTTTTTCACGTCCAAAACTGATCCAGGTACTCAAAAAACAACAAAAACCAGGGAGGTTCTCACCGTAAGAGGAATTATGCTGCCGCCTTAATTATAGTACAATTTATAGCTAACGTTTTTTAGCACATAGTGCATGTCCAGCACTGTGCTAAGCGCTTCGCACTGGGACAGCTGGTGTTCCTGACTTGGTTTCTTCATTTAGGAAGAAAGAATAGGAGAGACGATTGGTCAGAACCAAGAGGCTGACAACTAGATTTTATTTATTTTATTTTTTTAGGATTTTATTTATTTATTTTTAGAGAGGGCAAGGGAGAGAGAAAAAGGGAGAGAAACATCATTGTGTGGTTGCCTTTCATGCACCCCACCCTGGGAAGCTGGCCCACAACCCAGGCATGTGCCTTGACTGGGAATCAAACCAGGGACCCTTTGATTCACAGGCTGGCGCTCAGTCCACTGAGACACACCAGCCAAGGCTATTTCTTCTGTTTCTCTGTTTGTTTTTACACACTCTTAAGAGCTCAGTTTGCCTTTCCTCTCTGATTTTATGCACTGTTCCTTTGTGCTTCTGACTCTTCTTCCTAAGTAAGCAGCTCTGCTTATATCTAAAAGCGTTTTTGCAATGTTGATATTAAAAAATAGTTCTCTGATTGAGTTGCGTTAGAGGCTCGAAAAGGGAATAAGGGCAGTTGGAGAAAATTGTAAACATATTCTGAAACAGTAAAACAAGTGAAATTTGGTTGGGTTGTAGAAAGGAAGAATAAGTGTTTTTCCCTCCATTCCCTAATTCTAGAGGCTTCTCATCCTGGCCAATTCTAGAAGTGAGCCACTGTTTATATAACGTGTTTTAAGAGGATTTGGAAAGAGAAAGGCCTAAGTCCAAAAATATTTCTCCTTCTGATTCCTGAAATCTCAATATATGCAATTTAATTGTCTTAATTACTGCCTTCTTTGGTCATATTCTTTTGAAAATGATCCTCTTCTGGGCATGATTATATGAGAAATTCCCAACTCTTTTTTTTTTTTACCACTAGAACCTTTATTCTCTTTCTTAGGATGATGAGGTATGATTATGATCATTTTCTGCATTGGATTGATTTGAAGACACCCATTCCATAATTTATAATAAAATTAAAAGTATGCAAAAAAATCCAAGTTAAAGTCAAAAAAGAAGAAATAATATAAATGCTGCTGATGGTTGTCTTAGGGTGATTAATTATAATTGTTTCTTCTTTACTGTCTTTTTCAAATCAACAAATATAACTTCATTTATTGTTTATGGAAAAGTGGGTATTAAAAAGATCTTTTCTTTCTAATCAGCAAATCTGTGAGTAGACGCCAAGAGACTGACCAGAGAAATTCCCAACCCTTAAGGAAACTCCCTTAACACCTTCATCCAGAATTGAGAGAGGTGGATATGTCAGAGTTCTGTTCTTTGTAAATATGGTCCAACTCCATTCATTTCATCATGTATATACAAGGAAAGGTCAGGCTGCTGGATTCATCTTGCTTCTCTTTGTAGATCTCCATATCCTATTTGCGATGGAAAGTAGATAGAGGGAACCCTTCACCAAAGAGCAGGGCCTAAACCCGCGTTCACCTGCCTAATCTAGACAATTGCAGCACCAGCTCACTTCCCGGCCTCAGGGTAACTGCCTCATTTGTCTCCCTCACAAGATTTCTGGCAAGATGTCCTTGGCTTACAGGGATTATTATGTTAATCAAACCATTCATAGAGATCTTATCCAGCTTTGTAAATTAGATTAGTTGAGGTGAGGCAGAAAGCTGGTTGCATTCATTAGTTCAGTGGAGCTTCTTACTGGAGTATTTTGTACCACATTATCTCACCCCTAGTTCGTAATTGACTTACACCTGATTGCCTTACATATTTCAGAAGCAATTGTTGGGTGAAAAGAATAGTTAGGTATTATTTTGTTGCTTAGAATATAATGGTAAGTGTATAGTAATATGTGTAGGCATGTGTGTAATTTAGTGGTTTTAAATAAACCTAACTGTTAGTTGACACTAGCTTAACCTGCCCGGGAGACATAGTTGAGTCAGAATGGCAGGCTGAGTCATACATACATTGGTGGTTTACCAGAAAATACATGTCAAAGGCTCAAACAGATCTTGGGCAGATATTAGAAACTCCTTGTTTTACTAAAGTTGAGTGTGTTGTATATACTTGGGTGTATAAATATGTGTAGATTTATCCTGAATCCTGACACTTCAGAAATGTTTATAAAATACTTTACATCCTTTTCAGTTTTTCCTGGTGGATTGGTGGAATGTGAAAGAAAAGAAGGGTTAAAATGTGTCCCTGAGGTTCTAAACCACAGTTCTTATCTTGTTTTAAATCTTACTCATCTGAGTATCTCAGACTGCCTGCCACCTTCAACTCAGTACATTCTTGTCCCTGAGGATCAGTTGCCCACTCCAGGCTCTTCTGAAGTTATCTTCTGGTCTTTAGCTTTCTCTCTGCTGGCCTTTCAGGTGGTATTTAGTGCTCACATAAGTGGCCCCTGTTTGGTACCCTCTCCGTGTACTTGGACCTGAAGATAATGTAACAGTGCGGCAGCGAATACTGTTTAACATCTCTTTGAAATAAACAACAGAGGACAGGTGACCTTTTTCGCCAACTCTCTAGCTTAAAGCTTTTGCAGTGAAAGCGATGGGATAGCGTGTAGACTGTTTTACGAATTGGAGGCCTCAATTCTGCCAGTCTCAGTGAAGGGAAGTCACTTTTACTAGGTTTCAGCTCCCTGTCTATAAAAACAGGATAATGTCATTCAACTTGAGAATCAAGCCAATGGAGATAGTGGATATATTTACTCATTTACCATACTAAGCTCTTATTATATTAAAAAAAATTTAATTTTATGTAATATTATATTTAGGGCCTACATTAAGCTTTTTTTTTTTTTTTAACATGGTCATCTCATTTGATCCTCACGAGGTAGATGCTGTCACTTCCATTTTACAGATGAAGGCACTGAGGTTTAGATCAGTTAAGTGACGCGTCCAAGGCCACCCAGCCGGTATGCGGCAGGGCCGGTGTTCCCACCCAGGTCTGCTGGACGCGGGGCTCCGTGCCTTACTGCTTCGCCTGTGGTTCTTCCAGCATGGTCCCTGGGTCACCAGGTGTGCTTGTTAGGCACAGACTCCCAGATGCCACTCTCCAGAGCCACAGACTCAGACTCTGAGGCTGGAGCCTGGAAATCTGCCTGCGTGGTATTGGAGCAGCCTAAAGTGTGACAACCACTGTATCTCATTATACTGCTGCTAGATGATCGTAAAGCCTTCTGCTTGTGTGTATATGGTACTGACAGATCCTCTAAGGTTATGTGCAGGAGTCCCAAATCTAGGATTTCATAAATAAAGACAAGCAGGCAGGTTATTTCAAATCCATTACTGCATCAATGTGATAAAATGTGTAAGGTCAGAATTCATTGGTAGAGAACAATTTTCAAACTAATTCATTTTAGTGGAAAGGAATGTTTTGTGGGGTTTTTTTTTAAGATTTTATTTATTTATTTTTAGAGAGGGGAAGGGAGAAAGAGAGGGAGGGAAACAGTGTGTGGTTGCCTCTCACACGCCCTCTGCTGGGGACCTGGCCTGCAACCCAAGCATGTGCCCTAGACCGAATCAAATTGGCCACCCTTTGGTTCACAGACTGGTGCTCAGTTCACTGAGCCACACCAGCCAGGGCAGAATCTTCTAAAAAGTAGGATATTAAACAGTTAATAGTATCATTGGGGAGGCTCAGAGAAATAGTCTTTAGATTGAGCATCTAAAATTGATTGCCAAAATCACTCCGCGGAACTGGGCCTCAGGACGAGGAAGCTGCTTTGTTGTGAGGAGAGCAGACGTCCCAGCTGGTGCCCTGGGTTCAGGGAGTGAACAGACACCCCGGAGGGTGATCGGCAAGGAACAGCCGGAGGAACTCGGGTACAGGAGCAGAAGCCAGGGAAGTAGGGAGTTCGGAAGACAGGAGTGGCCAACACTGTCAAACACAGTACGAGGGCCAGTGTTATTTTTTTTTAAAAAGACAAGAAGAATAAGTATTGTTGACCTCGATGCTAGGTAACCTTTCACAGGTCAGTTAGTGCATTTTACTAGCACAGTTTCCGGAGGTGGGATAAACAACGAGCGGAAAATGACCGAACGGAAACAGTGTGTGCAGCGTGGACAGATGGCCCTTCCAGGGGGCTGAGCTGAAATGCGAAGGGAATCACACTGTGGCTAGAGAAGATCTGGGGAGTTTTTATTTGTTGTCGTTTTGTTGGTTAGGTCCAGAGGAGCAGGAGCAGAGAGGTGATTGAGGATAGGGGCTCAAGGACCAGATGGAGGGTGGGGTGTAAGACGGCGGCAGCTCATCTAATGGCTGGAGGAAGGGGGGGCAATGGTATAGAGACAGGTAACATGGTGGCGGGTGGTGGGGCCATAATTGTAACCATAATCATGGTCCTGATTTCCTTCTTGAAGTAGATGGGGTCACCTGCCGAGAAGGAAGGGCCAGGTATTGGGTATGGAGCTGGGAACAGGTTTGGAACAGTGGCTCATTGAGGACGAGAGAAGGGCTACCTGCTTAGGGCATTATCAGCCCAGGTAAAACTGGACATTGTGAGTTCAAAGTCAGGCCAGGCTGCCAAAATAGCATTTGATTTAGGCTCCTGCAGCCTTGGACAGGAGTGGGGAGGCAGGTCGTGGGACGGCTACAAGGATGGTACTGACTTCCAGTCCAGGACGCTGTTGGACTCTGTGCCTCGTGTCTCCTAACCCAGTGTGATGTTTCCTGTGTGGGTGACAGGTGCCTGAATCAGGAACTGTGAAGCTGTCCCACTTACAGGAAGGAACGTACACCTTTCAGCTCACGGTGACGGACACTGCCGGGCAGAGGAGCTCCGACAACATCTCGGTGACGGTGCTGCCCTTGGCCGTTGCCACGGGAGGTGAGGAGAAGGCCCGTCCCTCGCATTCACAGTGGCCAGCGGAAACCAGATTACTGTGGAAAGATGGTATCAGATTGGCTTTTTATATCCTAACTGTGCATTCCATGGGTTCTTCTTATTTGGGGGTGTTGTTGAATGAGACAGTCTCTACTAAAAATGTGATAACAAAAGTAGGCTCCACTGTACAATGCTTCAGGCAGAGCAGCGCTGCTGGGTCAGGGTGGGAATAGACTGTGTGAGCCAGAGAAGATCCATCTTCCCTTCACTCGATTCCATAAAGGGCTTTTCCAGGAAGGATCTCGTTTAAAGCATGGTGGTCTGTCTGCTATATACATCCAAGAGTAAGGAGTACATTCAAGACAAATTAAAGCATATGAAGCGCATGTCAATTTAAAAGGACTAGTTAAAATTTTCGTGGACACTTTGTGGAGATGCACAGATACATTGATAGTATAGCCCTCCCTGCCTGTCTTAAGGTTGACGTTGTGTTGCACAATGTAAACTCATTTATCTCATTTATGAATGTGTCTTACTTTCCCAAACATCTTCATTTCTAAGATTAGCTCATCAAGTTAAAAAAAAACCACACACGAAACACGGATGCACTGAAGGCCTAGGGATGTTGCAGGGGGAACCCCCCGCCGTTCACTTGCGGAGAAGTGCTGACAGGTTGTGCACTGGCATGCCTGTCATTCAGTCGGCAGACGTGTGGGAGCGTCTGCGTTGCGCAGACTCTGTGCTCTGCGCTGGGCGGGGCTCCAGAGACCTGGTCCCCATCCCTGGGCTCTGAACCTGCACTGTCACTAGCCGTAGCTCTGGTGAACTTGCAGCATGTCTCTGACGTCCTTGATTGCTCAGGACTTGGATGGTAATTAAGCCAGCACTTAGAAGAATAAGGAAATGCAGATTGGAATGGGACCGGGCTTTGCTTGTACTGTTGCTGATCTTGTCTTCCATTGAGGACATAGAGAAATGCAAGCAATATCGGTAACTCGAGACTTGAAATTCTCCCTTAAACAGTACTATCATTAAAATTATGTATTAAAAAAAATTAAGCGGAGGCGCACAAAAAGAAGGGGGAAGCAGATTAACTGCCCGGTGTGTGTTAGTGACCGCGTGCAGGGGGCCCTCCGACCGGCAGACTGCTGCCCCCGCAGCCGTCCAAACGGCAGTGCGGGTCCCCGCCCAAGCCGTGGCCCCAGGGCAGCTCTTGGGGCGCAAGCAGGTTTCATACACTTATCCCGTTGTGTGTGATGTTTGTATGAAGCAGAATGTGTGAAGCGACCGTGAGATGCCAGATCTGGGAGCAGCTGTGCTTCCGTCCGAGGATGGGGTAAATTCTAACGACAAAGGTCAGGCTGCTGTTCCTTCTGCGAGGTGCAGTCTCTGAGCTGCTGACCCATGGACCGAAGCAGCTGGCAATCCGGGCGTCCGGAGGGCTGTGCCTGCTCTGACCTACCACGGACACTTCTCTGTGTGCTGTTTTGCTGAGTAACTGTTTGCTGAATTGGAAGAAAAAACAATGAAAGGAGGAGATTTTAGAATCCCAAGGACTTGGCAGTCTTGGTGATTTGCCTTCCCCGGGAATCAGAGCATGAGCAGCATTCAGAACTGGGGGGCGGGGGCGGGGCGGGGCTGGCTCACGGCCCAGCCCAGGTTTAAGCTGGCTGTGCCTGAGGAGGGGCGGGAGGGGCGAGTGCACGTGGGCAGACCAGGCACCAGGCTACCGCCTGGCGGCTCTGGGAGAAAGGAACGGGGAGGGACGGAGAGGGAGCGGAGCCATCAGCCCTGCCGATGCGAGCAGGCCCTGTGGACATATTGTACCTGCACACGGCCACCCACAACGTTATGTGTCTTCACGTGCAGGGCGAGCACCAGGGCCTCTGGAAACACGACACTGGCTCCAGCCAGTCACCCTCCCCCCCTCCCCGGGCATAGGACGGCTGGGCGCAGAGGGCTGTCTTCCTGGGAGGCAGTGCAGGCCTAGGCAGGGACCGAGGGGAGAGCTGGTTCTGGGGGAAGAGGGCTCATGGGAGGAAGACAGAGAAGCCCTGTCCTCCCTACAGAAATTGGAGGAGGGTTGCTTGGTACAGCCTGGGAGGGAGGGCGGGCCTGGGCTTAGGTACACGGGTGACTGGGGCTCACCAGCCACTTGTTCCTCCTGGTGTATTTACTCAGGTCCGTTTTCCGGGCTCCAGAGGTAAATTGCCAGTTGTACATTTCTGGCCTTTCTCCAAGATGATGATAAAATGTATTTGAAGAGGCAAACAGTTATTGGAGTCACTTTTGATTACTGAAAGGCCTCTTGGGTATAGGTCTAATGTATGTAACTTTATATAGGAAATAGAAAAGAAAGCTATAATACTAACTGCCCTCTGAAGTCGCTCACTGGTTAGACTGGAATAACATACTATGAATTAAAGTTAATAAAGCACCACATCGAGGCACTGACAACCAGAGATGGGGAGGAAGAGGTGTTTCTCTCCCCTCTGTTGCAAATATTGATCTAATGACCCAGCTGTAATGGTAACCAAGGGTAGCACCTTCTGGGGTAAACAGACAAGCCCATACTTCTGCTAATGGGATAGTAACTTGGCACATTTTTGGATGTCCTCAAGTTTTGGGAAAAGTAATCCATTCAAAGAGCAAGCCAACACTTCCAAGATGAGCTAGATTAATGGTCTCCAAATAGGATCCCCAACAAATGGTGAAGACATTTTTTAGGATGGAAGATGCTAGGATCTATGTTTTATGAATTTTTAATCTTTTCTAAGTTCTCAGTATATTTTATAACATGCACAGTGTGTTCGCACAGTAGTACATGCATGTTATTTATAGATTGGAGATGTGTGTTTACCAATATATTGTTGATCAGGATGCATGGTCGAAAGTTTGGAGACCTCTAATCTGGAAATAGATGGATAAATTATAAATATGGCTCTATCTCCAAAACTGCCAGGGAATAGGTAAAACCTTGATGCATTTAGGAAATTTACATCATGAACTTAGGAAATGTGAGCAGGAGCTGTGTCCTGCTTGGTGTTCACAATGTCCCCTTCATTTTTCCTCCTAACTCCCTTCCTGTGACAGAAGCAGATTCTCTTTTTTAGGCCCAAGTTTTCAGTCACAACTGCAGGCTCTTGGATTCCTCTTCTTTCTCAGGAGCTTTAACCAATCTTTCTTTTACCTTCCTCCCTTTGACCTCTTTGCCAGTCTTTAACCGCCTCCCAGTGGCCTGTGTAGCCAGGACTTCACTTGAGCACGTGCACTGTGCTCAGCCATGTGTCTCAGTGGAACAACATCACCACCACTGTCTCATGTCCTGAGAGAATTCGCTAGTCCATCCCGTCCCTGGAGAACTATGGGGCTCCTTATGGCGTGCTTCTGGCCCGAACTCTCCCATCTGCACCCCCGGTTTCAGGCAGCCCCCCAGTTGCTGTGTAGCTAAGCCTACTAAATTGGGCTTACTCGGGAGTGGGGGAAGCCTCTTACAAAAATACATCATAGCTTCTATGAATTGCACTGTGGATTAAAAACCCCTAAGAGCTCCAAAAAGGAGACGGTTTCATTATTTAAAGAAAATAAATTCATACCATCTAGTATCTAAAGATCCTATTTATTCTTTATTGTGCCAAGGAGGTATGGCAGTCAGCAGCCAGGGTTCAAGAGTAAAAAGTGAACATCAGCAAAAAGGAAAGGAGAACATAAGACATAGCATGTGTGAAACAGGGCCGGCCACCCAGGTGCCATGCGGGGCAAGGCTGGGGGGACGGTGGGATGAACTAGCTCAGAGGGAAACACCGGAGCAAGGAAGCCCATGTCAGGAGCGGGGCCAGAGCTGCTGCTTCTCTCCTCGCACCTCGCAGGCAGTGTCTGCCCATGGTGATTCCTGGATTTAAGTCGGGGCGCCAAGAAGAGGCCACCCTACTTTTCCAGAACCTATTGCTCCAGTTCCGACCACAGGGTGTTTCCTCATTATCTGCCTCTCTTTACCCACATGCATTTCATCATACATTTAGTCTCTCTGTTCATGTTGGCGCGGTGGAAGTCAGCTTTCTGGCGCTCCTGTGACTTGAGCCTTGTTTATAAATAGGATGCTCGAAGGTTTGCTCACGCTACCAGTTCTTTTGTGACGATGGCTGTTGCATCGACATCACACTGGCTTGTGATGGAGTAGAGCAGTGTCCGGACGGATCTGATGAAGCTTTCTGTCAAAACTGTGAGTCAGCTGCATGGCGTTTTGTGGAGAAGGGATGTCTGTATTCTCATAATAACATGCAAAGCCAGTATCGCTCTTTTTCTGCCCGATTTCAGGTATAACTAACTTCCTGTGAACAAGCTTTGCCTTAAATTAAGCAGCATTTATTATGAGTCTCTAATGGTAGTAACAAAGGTCAAATATGCTGTATTGCTAGCATTTTCAAGAAATTGTTTTCAGTTCTCCAAAAGATTCTTTACCATCCTAAAAATGCTCTAGTCAAACCTTGGTTCTCAAACAATTTGGTTCACAACCAAGTTGTTCATGGAGAAAAATGCCTCGGTTGTCCAAAATTTTGGGTCTAGATTCTCTGCCTGACAACTCTTTTATTCCAATACCCATGTGATTGGCGTGTGCCTCGCAGGCAACAAAGGAGATTTGTTTTTTTGAACAAGCCGCTTCTCAAACTGTCTTTGGAATGAATTAGCAAGGTTCTGCTATATATGCTTTCAAAAAGCTTAAGTGAGATAACACTTTGTTTTGATAAAACTTTTAAAGAAAATTTCTGACACACCAGGGTGTGGCTAAGCCATCTAAAGCAGTCTTACGTCATATACATAAACATGCACCGTAAAAAAGGAAAAGCGGCAGCAGCTCCTGCTTGAGGAAAAGCAGCTTGAGGAAAGAGGATGAATGTCACAATGTTAGGTTTAAAAGTTTTGTCTTTGTCAACTTATATGTGACATTTAGAAAGTGAATTACTGGAAGAAGAGAGATCACTTGAAAATGAGGGAGAGCAGGTTTTCATGGAGGCTTTGACATGTCTTAAATAGATGGGTTACTATTCCCAAATACCCATGACTTCAAATTTATGGCAAATTTAGTGGTTTTAGTTAAAGTTCAGAAGAGAAACCCAACAGCTCATTAGCTCTCCTGCGCTTCAGTGAGCCTGGAGCGGAAGACGGCGACTCGCGGGGCGACTGCCCAGCCCCGGGCCGCAGGACCGAGCCAAGACGCGGCAGGGGGCGTCTGGTGGGAGGAGGCTCAGCAAGCCGCGGCCCCGGACAGGCCACCCGCGTTATCAGACACGGAGGAGAGGAATCGTTCCACACTTTGGGGGCCAAAGATTCACACTGACCCTGTGGGGCCAGGTAAGGACTTGAGGCAGGCCCTCCACGGAGAGCCTCGTTTTCTGTCATGACACTGGCTGGGAATAAAGGTTATATCTGAGGAGTGTTAGGGAGATACCTCAAGAGGTAAAATGAAGAATTTAGCCAAAAGGAAAAAAATCCCTGACATTTGTACTGCTTATTTATAGTAAGAAATACTAAATACATCCTTACATTAATACCTAGATACACATTCCAGAAGTATCAATGTTTATTTGTAAATAAGTTAGAAAGTTTTTTTCTTTTTAATCCTCATGCGAGGACATGCATATTGATTTTAGAGAGAGAGGAAGGGGGGCGGGCATCGATAGGTTGCCTCTCATACATACCCTCACCAGGCACTGAACCCACAACCTAGGCAAGGCATGTGCCCTGACTGAGTATCGAACCCATGACCCTTCAGTTTACAGGATAACATTCCAACTAAATGAGCCACGCTGACCAGGGATAGAGTTTAAAGTTTTAACACCTATGTTAAGGAAACTAATGGCCTAAGTGTTAAATTTTAGATTATTTTGAGATGAAGCAGTATAACCCCTATGTATTCATGTAAATCCTCTTCACACTAAGTAAACGAAAAGAAAATATTATCTCATGTTGAAATGGTTGCATGTGCTAGTTATTCACTGTTATGCTCTAGTTTAACTAGATCTGTAATTTATAGTTTAAATAAGGCCAATAATATTTTTAAATGTATTCACACTGCTGAAGCATTACAAGATGTCATTTTAGATTTCTTTTTTATACATTTATAGTTGCATGACTGTATGACATACAAGTATAGATGATCACATGTATGCTTTTGCAAATCTTTTCAGTACTAAAACTCTGCATACATTAAGCTGAAATAATTTGTCACTATTTTAATAACTTCTTCATGAAAATTTTTTGTCCATTGCAGAAAATACAGAGTATGCAAGTAATAAAAAGAAAATGGCTTGAAATATTACCCTTTATTGAAAACAAATTTTGATGTTTTGGTATATTTGCTTCTAATATTTTATCTACTTTGTAGGTTTTAAGTGCCTTCATACAAATAAATACATTTGCACAAATTCCATACAGGGCGCCTTTCTGACAGTTCAGGTTATGTGCACTTCTGGTGCCTGCTTTGCTCAATTCCTTGCTGATACTGCCACCTAATGGTCAAACTTGTCACCCCCAGCACTGCCTTAGGGTTTAGTCCGTTTTCTCTACTTGGAGTAGACAGCCACCTAAGAAACAGTCAGGGGAGGCCTAGTGTTTTTGGCAGGAGGGGTGAAGAGCTGAAGGAGAGAACCGAGTTTTCGGAGGCCAGGGCGGATGAACTCTTGCTGCATCCCCATGGTAGAGAGGCGCACTTGTGCATGAGTGAATTCACAGCAGGCAGGGTGGAGACCAAAGGTTGGGTCTTCTGATTAGGTTCTGGTCTCAGCTCCGCCCTTAGAGCCTTGAGAGACAAGTTGCTTCATATCTCTAGACCTCAGTTTTCCCATCAGTTAACAAGGGATTTCAACCAGATGACCTATGGCCCCGTCCAGCACTGAGTCTGTTTGAGAGACTCAGGTTAAATAGCCTCTGACTAGGCCTGTGTTGGATACTACCTTCTAAGTATTAAACGTATGAGCATTTTTAATGCTCATATATTTGATATCCTTTAAGTCCTTTCTTTAAGTCCATCTTAAAAAAGTAAATAAGGCTGTATTTTCATGTCTGTCTCCTAAAGTTTCTAATGTACCCTCAGTATGTGTTCTTATTTTCCACAGATAGTGGTTCCTCAGGGAAGAACAGAAAAGAGGAAAATTATATTTTCGAGTCCAAGAGCGATCGAGCAGGAGTGGAACACCCAGCCCCAGAAATAGGTAAACGTGCGCCTTGCAAATGCCTGGTGGAGTATAAGCAGTTGCAGAGCCACATACCCTTTGGCTGAGGATATTAGATAAAGCCTTAGCAATTCAGGACAAGAGCAGCAACCTGTGGGTCTGAGCCATATTCTCTTAGTTAAGTGCCTTAGATTTGAGAAGCATTCAAAAATAAAAGGGACGATGCTTGCTGACTGTTGGAAGAAGGGTAAAGAACAGTGATTTCTTAGAGCTCATGACAAGGATCATCACACGATGGCATACGTTCTTCAACCTACTAAAAAGGAGACAGTACAAGTGCTTGCAAAACTAAGAGGGAGGGATAGATTCTGGAGGGGCTGAAAATAAAAAGGAGCTGTGTTCCCAGCTTGCTTCACCTTTGGACCCTTACACCAGTCACCTCGCTTCCTCTTTCATTAGCAGCCCCTTCCAGGCGTAGCTTTCTGTGAAGAGTCATCCTCATGGCACAGTGGTTATGAACACGGGCTCTAGAATCAGATGCCACGGCTCGGATCCTTGCTCCACCAGTAACTCTTTGGCCTTGGCAGGTTATCTTATCTCCCTGGATACCAATTTCCTCGTTAGTAAGATGGAGGTAATCACTATGCCTGCCCCACAGAGTTGTTGGGGAGAATAAATGGGACACTTAAGATAAAGTGTCTAGCACAGTGCTTGGCTCATACAATGGGCCATAGAAATAATGGCTATTATGGTTGAGTTGTTCATGATACAACAAGAGTGAAGGTCTTGAGCACCCAGTTCTCTCTCCAAGTGTTCTAGTGACAAGACAGTAGGAACAGGGAAACTGTAGGAGGTAGAGGGAATATTCAGTAAATGGAAGAAAAGTATCCTGATTCCTAAAAATAGTTCATTAATAAATTGAAAAGTCCATGGGAGAAGAGGCGGTAAGGCCCAGAGGGCAGTGTGGGCGCTCTTTGGCATCAGCTCGTTCTCTTGGAATCCCAGCACTTAGCTCAGGGCCAGGTGCCTGGCTGTCCACTGGTGCAGAAGGAAAGAGTAAATGAATGAAAGAAAATGTTCTAACACCCATTCAGAAGAGCCTATGCACCCCAGTGTTCATAGCAACACAATTTACAATAGCCAAGTGCTGGAAGCAACCTAAGTGCCTAACAGTAGATGAGTAGATCAAAAACCTGTGGTACATTTACATAGTGGGATACTATGCAGCAGAAAGAAAGAAGGAGCTACTACCCTTCAGGACAGCAAGGATGGAACTGGAGAGCATTATGCTAAGTGAAACAAGCCAGGGGGTGAGATACAAATACCATATGATCTCATCTGTAAGTGGAACCTAATAAAACAAGCAAGCAAAACAGAACCAGAGACATTGAAATAAAGAATAAACTAACAGTAACCAGAGGGGAGGCTAGTCGGGTAGCGGGAGAAAGAAGGGGAGGGGTCCTCAAGGAACATGTATAAAGGACACATGGACAAAGGCAGAGGGGGGTAAGACTGAGGGTGGGGCGGGTGGGGCAGGGGAAATGGAGACGACTGTACTTTAACAATAAAAACCAAGTATTTCTATATACTGTCAACAGATACATGGACCAACACATTAGAAGTAAAACTTACACACACACACACACAAAATGTTATAGAATAAGCTTATGGATTGGAGACTTTTGCTCCTCCAGCTTCACCAGTTGGCAAGACCCTTGCAGCTAAAAATAGCTCCACCATCTCATCTGCAAGGCTGGCTGACTACAGAGTAGGCCAGACTAAAAATAGAGCCTCCTGAACTTGGTAAGACTGATCTGGTTTTTTACAGGTTTGACTTTTTTAGATTCCACATGTAAATGGTATCACATAATAATGGCCTTTCTCTGCGACTTCTCTCAGTAAATAAGCCATAGGGAGCTAATGCACAGTATAATGAATAAAGACAATAATACTGTACTACAATATAATAATGTAATATGATAAATATTGCTTCAAGGGCAATTATATTACAATATGTAAGTGTATGAAACAGGCTGTATACCTTAAATTTATAAAATGGAACATACTGCCCTGGCCAGGTGGCTCAGTTGGTTGGAGCATCATCCCGTACACCAGAAAGCTGTGCATTCAATCCCCAGCTGGTCACATACAGGACACAAACCAGTCAATGTTTCTCACATCAGTGTTCCTCTCCTCTTATCTCTCTCTCTCTCTCTCTCTCTCTCTCAGAATCAGTGAATATGTCCTCAGGTGAGGATTAAAAAGAAAAAAATGTAACGCATCCAATTTTTCAGATTTTTTCTTTAAAAAAGACCAATCCAGGGCCTGCCCTGTCCCTTCCAGGCTCCTGCAAGCCTCTAAAGCAGGGGTGTCCAGCCCGCAGCCCACAGCGCACACGGCCCAGGCTGGCTGTGAATGTGCCCAACACAAAATCGTGAATTTACTTAAAACAATTGAGATTGTTTCTGTGTGATTACATGTTGCATGTATTTAATGTGTGGCCCAAGATAACTCTTCTTCCAGTGTGGCCCAGAGATGCCAAAAGGTTGGACACCCCAGCTAAAGGCTGCTTCTAGTCTGGGTGTATAGAAACAACTCCAGAGGAAACCCTGTGAAGAATTAGACACACACCCCCCAACTACCCTTAGCCAAAATGACACCAGTATATCCACTTTGAAGTTAGTTTTCAGCAATGGTTCTACTAGCTGAAAGTAGGTTCCCTGAATTTAGAAAAGGAAATAAAAATTTTAAAACCCTAACTGGAACAATAAATCAGGAGTTGGTCCATATTTATTTTAAGAGACAGTGATCATGTGTGGGTCCATACCTGTAACCTATGGCTACAATGAAAAAATTTCCTATGGTCCCAGTGTCTTTACAGATGTCTATTTACGGGACAGTGGCTGTAAGGGTGATCTGATTGCAACATTTGTACCCACTGATGCCATCAAATTTTGTGGGAACCTGGTAGAGAATGTGCTTTTAAAGAAGTCTGGGTTTGAGACCTAGACCTGCCATTCACAAGCTCAGTGCTCTTAGACCAGTTACTTAATCGCTCGGCACCTCAGTTGATCTGCAGAAAGGTGGTACTACGGGCATCCACTCGAGCAAGTTCTTCAGATTAGGTGACCCAGCACAGGCAAAGCATGGCAAACTGTGGCTGTCACTGCTCTTGCTCACCGACCTGCCCTCTTCCCTTCCACCTGTTCGCAGGTGCAGTGCTGCCCCTGACCCTGGGTTTGGCCATCACTGTGTTGCTGCTTCTCGTGGTTGCTTGCCGACTGCGCCTGGTGAAACAGAAGCTTAAGAAGGCTCGGCCCATTACATCTGAGGAATCGGACTACCTCATCAATGGGATGTATCTCTAATGAGTAGAACTTCAGTAGCCGGGACGAGGACATGTTTCACTTGTAATTGATACATATATTGGGTTTTGGATATTTAGAACTTGTTTTTAACTGGGCAAAGGAAGGTACAGAAAACCCGTAAGATTCTACAAGCCCCAAACCTGTGCTCTTATTTATTGTAGAAAACTTTTCCTTGGGAAGTATGTGAAATATTTGAATTTAGAGGAGTCCATGTGGTTCAAGACTTTTATAGACCTAATTGTGATTTACATAAACTGTCCCTGCAAACAGAAATTTGTAGTTAGCCAAGACAGAAAATTTAGTATCTCAAGAGGTGCCCTTAAAATGCTTTACTTCTTAGAAGACAACCATGGGCCCCTGGCAACCTCATACCCCCTTGTGCCTGGCTCCTCCTCATTCTGTGGCCCTCCTAGTCCTCACTTCAAGCTTCTGTAGCTCTCCTTTCTCTTCTCCCCTTCAAAACCTGTTTCTGAGAATGGATCTCCAGTGAGTTTATACCTTCCGTCAGGTTTTACCTCTGGCGGGAATATCTAAATTATGGGCCTTACGTGCAGGTCAGTGATGAGGAAGGTGAGCAAACTGTGCCTTCCAACATCTTTGACGTGTCACATGGGTGGCTGCCTCATTAGACTGACGTTTGGGAGAAAAAGTTCAGACTGAATTATAAATAGCTCTAGCGTGGTCATGAGTGATACGGGAAATCAGGGTGGAAGCAGAGAAGCTGGCAGGTCAAAAATTTTAACAGAAACTTAGCTGTGGGCAGAGTGAGCAAGGACCACTAGTACTTTCTCGAACCTACTCCACACTGCTTGATGGTCCAGAACACAGCAGCTCTCACAGGCACCAGTTTTCAACATTAGTCTGTGTTGATGGGAGAGAAAAATGCATTTAAATTGAAAAGCAGGACATTGAGTGGATTTCTGAGTGCCACTTTTGTAAAAATGCCACGTTTACATATTAGCAGGTTCTTTCATCCGGTGGAATGAACAGTTTTTCCCATTTATATAATGCTATAAAATATTATAATGTGCAATCGGCTAAATGCCAGGCTTAGGTATTCCCAGAGCATAAAGTAGTTTTGCACAAATTCATCTTTATAGAAAACTGGCATCCAGCTTAGCATCTCTTTTAATTTGTAGGAATTTAAAGGCAAATTATTTCCATAATTACCTAATACGGGAATTATACATTTCCTAGAAATTATTTTGAGTGGACTACATAACGTGGTGCCTGTCTACACTCACATGATAGTCCTATTTACATTAATTTATTTTTTTACCATAAGTGACAAACCTTTTAAAATTCTTAAAAACACTAGAACACATTATTTTCAGACTGAACCTGAGACAGGTTGTTCCTTTAGCAAAAAGCTTAATTTGGGTTGGAGACATCACTGAATACATTAACAAATAGAAAGCTCTAGAAAAACAAATTATTTTTATTTCCTAAAAAATTCAAGCATTTTGTTGAAAGTTTAGAATTGAGCAAAGATTTAAATTTCTCCTCAAGGGAAGTTATGAGAAATGGCGGTGCCAATGAACTTTGAAAAGATGTTTGCATTCTGTGTGATGCTGTGCCCTTTGTTTTGGATAGCCATACCCAATAAAATAAAAACTGTTGAGGCATGTCTTTCAGCACATCTTTTATACATGGAGAAATTAAACACAATTTAATATTGCTGTGATATTGAAGAACTTGAGAAAAGATGTCCCGTGTACAATAGTTCATTAATAAATTGTATTTTATTCTTAAGCCTTTATAAATCTTCAATATAATCATAAATTGCCAATATTTAGTGAGCTGTACTATCTTCCTGGATTTAATCATACCAACTGTATTTTACAAAGATGGAAATTAAGAATTAGAGATGCAGAATCAAGATCTTAATACTTAAGGATCAAAATACTTAAGTTGTCAGATGGACTGAACAGGACTTGTTGAAGTCAACTTACCTGTTGATTCTGTGATGGTAGGAATTCTGCATCTAAGACAATTAAAAATAATTTTAAAGGGTAAGTTGTCCACAATTTCTCTCTCCAACACATCCTTGTGATTCACATCTCTCTTCCTGAGGAAAGGCCCACCAAAACCATCTTTCTGAAAACTAAAAACTCAATCCTCAGTACAAGGAGACTACAGCTACTATCTCTGTCCTTCCACAAGCATTTTAATGTTTCAAGTCACCCAAGTAACAAATATGTTCTTTTCCATAGAAATAACAATTTCTCCACCTTTTTCCCACTGACTTTTCAAAATACGTGCTATGCTCCCCCATTTCTTTTCACACTAACCCACACCTCCTGCCAGCCACTGGCAGCCATTCAAGTGCACTTCACCGTGCTTTCCCAAGACGTGAACAGAGAAGTGTGTTTCTGCTTGGGCCTCAATCTGCTGTTCAAGGCAGTCCTTGTTAACGAATTAACTGGATCTCACCTGTGTATTCACGCATTCCAGTACAGTGTGCCCCAGAACACAGGCCCCAGCCTCCTCTTTGCATGTCCCGTCCACATCAAATTAATGATGTGCCTGTCACATACGCATCTGAGTCTGAGATTCTGTTTAGCAAAAATAAATGCTAAAACTGCTTTATAATACAAAAAACAAGTATCTAAAATAATTGAATTAAAAATTAAAAAATTTTTCCTGAAAGTTTGGGCCAAAAACATGGGTGTGCCTTATACACAGGAGCATTTATACACAGGAGCATTTATACATAGCAGAATACGGATATGTTACAAGGCCATAATAATGAAAACGGCATGGTATTGGCCTAAGAACAGACATATAGATCAACCGAAACCAATAGAGAGCCAAGAAATAAAGCCATGCCTACGTGGTCAATTAACCTATGACAAAGGAAACAAGAATACAAAATGGGGTCAAGACAAGTCTATTCAATAAATGGTGGTGAGAAAATTGGAAAAAATGAAACTAGACCACACCTTACACTATATACAAGAATAAACTCAAAATGGATCAGATTTAAATGTCAGACTTAAAACCATAAAACTTCTAGAAGAAAACACAGGCAGTAAAATCTCAGACATTCCTTTTTTTTTCCTTAGAGACTTTATTTATTTTTAGAGAGAGGGGAAGGGAGGGAGGAAGACAGAGAAAAACTGACGTCTGAGAGAGACATCAATTGGTTGCCTGACTGGGGACGAACCTGCAACCCAGGCAGGTGCCCTGACTGGCAACTGAACCAGGACACTGCTGCCCATCCAAGCCACACTGGCCACAGCTTGGACATTTCTCAGAAATGTCTTTCAGATGTGTCTCCTAGCTAAGGGAAACAAAAGAATAAAAATAAACAAATGGGATTACATCAAACTAAAAAGCTTTTGCACAGCAAAGGAAACCATCAACAAAAGGAAAAGACAACCCACAATAGGGTTAACTTGGAAATTTGGCAAGTTCTTTGATCCATAATGTAATTTTGGCAAACTCCTAGCAGGATAACCACCCAAACAATTAAGTAAACAAATAGTGCTAGCAAGAGAGATTACTGCAAGTGATGTGATCCCTTGGAAGGTAAAGTGTTCAAGATGTGGGAATTCAAATACAAATATCCTCAGCTGCCTCTGGAGTGCTGTCCCCTTATTCTTAAAATTGTCCTCCGTATTGTCATCACTTGCTCTTTGGACAAAAAAAAAAAAAAAAAATTATTCTGTGATACCCATTCTATGTGGTCACTCCACCTAAGTGAGAATGAGCTCTTCAGACTCAGCAGCCTTAGAACTTAGAACTTCCTCTTATGTAGGGAAAGGACAAAGAAGGGGAGGGGAAAAAAGAGGAGGAAGGGATTCACTGAACCTGCACAGCTCGCTATGGGAACTAAGCCAGCTTTTCTTTTCTCTCCAAGCAAGAGAAGTGCTTTAGAGCCATGGCCCAAACACCACAAAGTCAGTTAAAGAGATGAAGCCAAAATGGGAACCAGCAACTTCTGTTGTAGCAATACTAGAAGGATTAAGAATAAGGAAGTTTTCAGACTTGTTTAAATGTTTATTATATAGCAATTCACAAACACAATTTTCTTTGAGCCCCATGGGCCAGCCATTTTCCTTCAGGCAGGCTTTTTTTACTGGCACTGTATTTGAGCCACTCTTTAAATACAACAAGGACAAAACCCTGTCACTTTCTGAAAGGTGGTAGGAGAAATCAAAAGAGGTAAATCTAAAATCAATCAGAACTTAGTCTACTTAGTCTACTGCTTTAATAACACGGTGATAGAAAATGACAACTTATACCCTGCAAATAAATTTTTGCACTTGCCTAAAATAAGCTACTGGTGTTTGAACTCCATTTAGAATGTTTTTAAAATTACCCATGCTTATTTTACTTATAATACTAGTGTTCAATTACCATAGGCATGAGTTCTAATGCTATACCAAGCTATTGGAAATTTGTTAACATTTAGCTGAAAATCAGAAGCACCCACCTCTCTAAAATATTAAGGAACTTTATTTCTTGGCCATCAGATGCCAAGAATATCTTCAAAGAATTCATGAGTATTAAACTATTACTAAAAATTGTTATTCTGTTTTAAAATACATTGGACTTTTAAGATGCTTTAGTATAGGTACATTATATTCCACTTAAAAAGTGTAATCAAGTTTTTTTTTGAATGGGTTTTTTTTTTTTAAATTAAGGCAACAGGAATTTAAATATTTGTATGGACAACATCAGTGTATTATTTTCCCTCAACTGTCACTTTTTCTCCCCCCCTAATGTTATGGGTTGGGAAAGAGCTGAAACCCTCATTAGAAACTCGAATTCTTGATTTTAGTTCTTTAGAGCTAGAGAGCTAGATTAGACCTTTAATAAAATCAGATCTGTAAAAAGGGCCTTGTTTCAAAAGGATCTCGCTAGACTGGAACTTCTAAAAATATTTTCATTGTTGCTCTTCATATTATTAAGGAAAAATAAAATGCTAAAATATTTTAGAAATTATGAATAGCAAAGATTAAAGAGATTTCTTATCTTTGACCAACACATATATAAATTCAAAAGTCTTAAAGAGAAAAGCTCTTAAACCTAGTTAAAATTATTTCCATCTCTACCCATTTATATATGCTCCCTTAATATCCATTCCTATCTATTAATACTTTAAAATTTTATTTTTTTTTCTTTTTTTTAAATCATGTTTATTCTATTACAGTTGTCTCAATTTTTCCCCCTTTGCCCCCCTCTCCCACAGTCTGTTCCCACTCTGTTGTCCATATCTATGGGTCTTTCATACATGCTCTTTGTTTAGTTCCTTCTCCTTTTTTTTTTTTTAATTTATTTACTTTTTAAATACATTTGTCTCTGCCTCCCCCCCCACCTCTTTCCCTTGCCCCCTCCCACCTTCCCTCCCTCAGCTCTTCCAATACTTTAAAATTTTAATTCACAAAACTGTAAAAGTCCAAGAGCAATGCTTGGCACAGTATTTGCCTATACCAAAAAGGCGGCACTTTGTGCTATCCGATCTATGCACTGTCCCGTCAACGAGACTGTAAACTCTTCGAAAGGGCCGTTTTCTATCCCAAGACCGAACAGAGAGATCTACATATAATAAAATGCCGACAATGGCTATGAAGGATACAGACTAGTGAATTAGTTTAAGAATTAATTTAAAGTCTGAAAGGATACTTAACCTTTGAAACTAACTCAAATGACACTGAGTCCTGGACAAAAGGGTTCATGGCCTAGGTCCAGAAGCAATACCAACAGCAGCAAGCTGAAGCCGGTGATGAACTGAAACTCACAACTTTTGGCCACCAACTCAGGCTAGTTTCTTGTGTCTAAGACCTTACCCCAAAAGAGACACTAGTGAGATGTATGCATAATTTTTAAAGCCATTTTTAAAGCAAAGCTTAAGACGTTAAGGGGTAGGGGAAAGGTACCTCCCGCCCTAAGCATCTAATTGCCAGAATTATACGCACTTGCTATCAGCAGACACAAGGGCTTTGCTGGGAGTGCTAGTTCTGCTAGCTCTAGAGCTCATATTGCTTCAAGTTCTCGAACCCTGAGAGACACTAAGATCCCACTATGAAAAGTAGAAAACCGCAATATTTAAGCAAGATTCTAAAGTGCTACTGACTTCTTAGAAACTCACTTATCGTCATTATATTAACAAATCCTTTACAGGTAAGAGATGGGTATTGGTACATTTATCCTCAACCCAGCTGTTCCCTGACATTCAGTCCATTCGTTCACTCACTCGTTCTGCATTTATTGCTCATCTACAAGTGGGCAAGCCCTGTGTTAGGTAGAGAAAAATGTTACATGAGGTGTAGTCCTTGTCCTCAAGGAATATGGTCGCATTTATTTCACAAATGTATAGTTGAATCATGCCATTAACCTACTCGTATTTCACAAGACGGGCATCAGAGAAACTTTTTCTGCGATCTTGGTCAGCATTCTGTACCTGGTGGACGTGCTGTTCCTTCTTCCGCATTCAAACACCACCAATGCCTCTTTTACTTTTAACTTTATTTGGCAAAGCAGCACTGCATAAACTGCTCAGTAACTAGGACACAGCTTACACAGCATGTTAAATTCATATACATTATCAGCAGCAAATTAGAAACAGAAGAAATAATACTGAACTACAAGTCTCCTACAATTTTTAAAGAGAAAAAGGAAGAACTATGTCAGTCATGTCCAATCTGAACTGCTGAATGTTAAGGGACATCACCTTCCATCTTCTTAAAGTTTAATATTTACAATTGCTTAGTCTTAAGATAACGAAGCAGCTGATTGTATCTACAACATGCTATTCTATGACACCACATCAAAAGCTTTAAAAAAGGAAGCTCATCTCTATTTTTTCTTAGTAGCATCTAACAGACATCCAAAAATCAAGACTCTTAACCTGTGAATGGGGGTGTTAACTGATACACAAAAGCAATCTGAAAAATTAATATTGGAACAGAATTAATGTCTAGGAAAAGAAAAACTACTCCTCAAAATCAATTCAAAAACTAAGTTTCCCATTTTGTAGAACCCTTTCATTTAATATTTTAAAGTAAAATGTGGGCATGTTAAAGTAAGAACAAGTGTACACTTTGCATCCTTTCTCTACCAATTTGGCTTTTCTGCCTCTTTGAAGAATTAAAAATCCTATAAAACCACACATTTTCATGCTGAAAATAATAGTGTAACAAAGTCCAAAACAAGCTGTGATGCTGTTGGTTTTCAAAAGCTTTGAGGACTGAGATGAGCAATCCACTGTAATATTATATACTGGTCAAGCTGATGTTGCTTTTACAGTTCGTCCCTGGGGGAGAAAAAGAGAAATATGTAAATAGGAGTCACATACTTCAAGACTTGGCTTTCTAATAATTTAGATACAACTATTAAATCACTAAGAAAAAAAAAGGAAAAAAAACCATTGATCCCCAAGCAATATATTAAAAGGGAAAAAAAAAAAAAAAGCAAATGGTCTCAAGTCCAAGCAAAAATGGAAATCAGCCACTTCAAACATCTCTCATGCTAATTCAGAATGAAGTATGAACCCTATAGGGCCTGAATTCTTTTTTTAATTCTAAAGATAACTTTCTTCCTTCAAGACCAAAAATTCAGAGAAATTACTTTTAGATCTAGAATCTTGCTAATACTATTTATTGTAAAATGATTTGAGTACTTAAGAATTCAAATAAGTTTTTACAGTTACAGTCACAAAATTGGACAAAAAATTTAGCCTTTTGCTTAGAGTATCCATTTAGCAATTGTTGAATGGGTCAATCTCAACCCAAACTCTTTGGGAGAAAAGGCATCGCCTGTAGGTATAATATACCTGTCAGCTGATTTCATAAGTCAGCTTTATTTGCTCCAAAAGAAACCATGCGCTCAGCCACGTGTAGCACTGTACCAGCAACTGCCAGTGAGAGGAAGGAAGGAATAAAAATGCAATCTCAAATGTATGGTATGGTAGGTAAATTATACCTCAATAAAGGTATTAAAAATGAAAAAATAAAGCTCTTAAAAGTGAAAAAATAAAGCCAAAAAGCCCGAAAGCTTCATATCTGCGGGCAACCTGAGTGACAAAAACATTGTAACACTCAAGCACTTCAAGGGTAAAAAGTCTGATGTTTGCAACAAATCTCAAATGATTCAGGAAAAAAAAAATTACATATATGAATATATAGAGAGGGAAGGAGAAAACAAATATGGAAAAATGTTAATTACTGGTAACTCTAGATGAAGAGATTCAGTTTTTTGCACTATTCTTACAACTGTTCTGTAATAAAAAGATTTTTAAAAGTTGGTAAAATAAATTTGAAAGAAAGGCAAATAAAAGAGCTAAAATATCCCAAGTAAGTGGTGAATTAAGGGATCATCAGACAATATGTTTTCTTTAAAACTGAATTTTGTAAATTATCCAAGAAAATATTTTTAAAAATTACTTCTCCCATAAGCTACCTTTGTCATACAATGTATATTCATACTTAACATATTCTTTTAAATATGTAAGTACTATATTTCTCATAGAATACCTTTTACTTAAAATCATGCATTAAGATATTTATGAGCACTTCCAAAGTGCTCTATTCATAAGTTAAATTCACTTGTGCTTTTTATGCATTGAAGATACTATTACTGTTTTTGAAATAATTTACCACATTTTATTTACCTATTGCAAGGCATTAAGGATATCATAAATAAGTACCCTTATAGCCCAACAACATAGTACAACATTTCCAAATATCCTCTCCATTTAGAAAAAAAATTTAAAGAAAAAAGATAAAAACTCTCAATAAACTGGGTATAGAGGGAACGTACCTCAACATAATAAAGGCCATATATGACAAGCCCACAGCTAACATCATACTCAACGGTGAAAAGCTGAAAGCTTTTCCTCTAAGATCAGGAACAAGACAAGGATGCCCACTCTTGCCACTTTTATTCAACATAGTACTGGAAATCCTAGCCAGAGCAATTAGGCAAGAAAAAGAAATAAAAGGCATCAAAATCGGAAAAGAAGAAATAAAACTGTCTCTTTTTGCAGATGACATGTTATATACCGAAAACCCTAAAGACTCCACTAAAAAAATGTTAGAATAAACTAATTCAATAAAGTTGCAGGATTCAAAATCAATATACAAAAACTAGTTGTATTTCTATACACTAATAATGTACTATCAGAAAAATAAATTAATAAAACAATCCCGTTTACAATTGCATCAAAAATAAAAAAAAAAAATACCTAGGGATAAATTTAACCAATGAGGTGAAAGATCTATACACTGAAAACTATAAGACATTAGAGTAAAAGACAATGAAGAAAACAAAAAATGGAAAGATATTCCATTACTCATGGATTGAAAGAATTAATATTGTTAAAATATCCATGCTACCCAAAGCAATCTACTGATCCAGTGTGATCCCCATCATAATTTCAACAGCATTTTTCACAGAAATAAAACAAACACTCCTAAAATTTGTATAGAAACACAAAAACCCTAAAGCAATGGTATTACAAAGAAGACTATGCTGGAGACAACACACTTCCTGATTTCAAACTATATTGCAAAGCTACAGTTATCACAGCAGTGTGGCTTTAGCATAAAACACAGATCAGTGGAACAGACTAGAAAGCTCAGAAATAAACCCACACATATATGGTCAGGTAATTAAAAAGCCAAGAATACACAATGGAAAAACAACAGTATCTTCAATAAATGGTGCTGGGAAAACTGGATAGCCACATGAGAAAGAATGAAAATGGACCCCTATCGTACACCGTACACACAAAAAATTCAACTCAAAATGAATAAAACGCTTGAATATAGGACCTGAAACCATAAAACTAAACTTATGGTGGTAATCATTTTCCAACATAAACATACATCGAAGTATTATTTTGTATACTTAAAACCAACACAATCCTGTAGTTAATTATATCTCAGTAAAACTGGAAAAAAATCATAATGTAAAAAAAAAAAAATTTAGTGATATGAACAATGTTGGTGACATTTTATGAAAAAAGATTATGAAATAATGCTACTGTATAATCTCAGGATTATAAAAGAGATGTATCAATACATAGACCTATAAATAAGAGTATAAAAAATTACCAAAATATTAAATAGTGGTTATCTCTGGGTTCTGCGATTATGGGTGATTTTTACCTTATTCTTTGTACTTTTTTTCTATTTTGATAATGCATATGCATTACTTTGGTGTCAGTAATAGTACTGTTAAAAACAAAGGAAATGTACAGTACTAAAATGAAAAAAAAAAAATTCAAGTTTACAGACCTGTATTTTAACATTTGTATACCAAGAAAACCAAAAATTTGCTGCCTGTGCATGTATAACCTTGTCACATCCTAATACTCCAAAATCTGTATAATTTTTGTTATTAATTTTTGTTAATGTTCAAAATTCTGCATTTTTTCTGACTTAAATATATAGATCATTCACAATAACAAATAGCATGTCCTAAATTTCTAGAATATCTCTTTAAAATCACCATATATTTTCTAATTAATTCTATTAATTCTCTTAATCCACTATTAATTCTAGTGCTAAATACTTTCATTAGGTTAACTGTATAATTGATTACTTTGCTATAAAATATATAATTATACACAACTTATTAGGTTAATAACTCTAAGCTACTAACATTTAGTATTATATACCCTAACATTTAGTATTATATATTCTTTATTGAAAACAAACAGATGCTCTACCATAAAATAATTAAAATCCATCAATATTTTCTAGTTAATGGGTTTTTTGAGGTAATAAAAGCTTTGTACAAAGCATCATGAGACATTAAAAGAATTTCAAAGCAACAGAATATATGCCTGCCTTTAAGGATGCAAAATATGTAATAATATTGTAACATATGTAAAGAAATTTAAAAGGGACAATATAGAACAATATGTTCAACTGGATACCCTAGGACCTATACTGTCAGTCTTAGAAATGTCCAATCAATTCACAGCATCTTTTTCACACGTGCATGGCACTTTAAGACAACACTGATAAAATGCTTATGGAACAAGAACCCCGAAACATTCCTCAGTTTTACAAAGCAGAGGTTAACTTATTCCATTGACTCTTATGGCTATTAAAAACAAAAATAAAATAAAACCAGATTAACAATATCGTTTCTACATATATGAAATAAATATACTTATGCAAAATAAAATAAAAATCTAAAAGTATTAAGAGTTTATGAAGCAACTAATAGAACTATTACACATCCTTAGTCATGAACGTAATACCACAGATTCCAGGTTTACGGCCTATACAGCTGGCATTCTCTCCTTTTTTATTAATCCACCAAAGTAAAAGTGACATTCTCCCAAGCAGAAGGCGACATAAACCAACATTCAGGCTTGGGGCTCTATTTGGCAGTAGAATTTGACATGCCCACTTAATTCCCTCTTTTTGAAATAGTTTCTATCACATCTCCTCAGCAAATACTAGACCTCACGCTCTCACAACACTGCACCTAGCTCTGGGTTCCTCCATGAGAGAGGGGTGTGCTGAGAAACAAGAGAAGGTTCATAAGTACTAGGATGAGTTGTTAAAATTTAATCCTGAAAAAAGTCTGAAGGAACAGAAATCATCTAGCCATCTAGGCAGCAAACCAAGGAGCTTTATAGATGATGACTCCCAAATGTGGGATGGGCACTTAGAAAATCTTGAGACTCTTAACCACATTCTATCCTTATTATAACCATCGCCTTAATTCAGGCCACCATCATTTCACCCCTGACTTGCTACAACCACCTCCTGTCACTGACTCTAATGCTGTCCCTTTCCAACCTAGTCCGCATCACAGCCAGTCATCTTTCTGAAATGTCATTCCGATCTGGCTCCACTGCCTGGCTCCACCACTTCCGTTGCTCTCTACCGCCCTCAAGGCAAGAGCCTAAACATACTCCATTCAATAGCAGCGATTTTTAACCGATGTGCCACAAGAATTTTTAAAACATGTAATACCTGACTATTTAGCCAGTGGCACTGACCTCTTTTCCCTTAGACTGCCAAGTTAAAAAATGACAACAAGCCAACACAACCAACAAAAATATAACAATAGCCATCTGGTGGGAATATATCAAAATTATACCTAATTTTTTGTCAGATCAGCAGAAAACACATTTTTTGGTGTGCCGCAGAATTTTAGTAATTAGTTTGTGTGCGCCATGAGATGAAATGTTGAAAATCACTGCCCTATAGGTATACCTCAGAGATATTACAGGTTCAGGTCCAGACAACCGCAGTAAGGTGAGTATCACAACAAAGTGAGTCACACGAATGTTTTCCCAGTGCATATAATAGTTATGTTTTTACTGCAGTCTATTAAATGTACAATAATAGCATTATGTCTAAAAAACACTATACATACCTTAATTTAAAAATTATTGCTAACAAATGCTAACCATCACTGGCCCTTCAGCGAGTCATAGTCTTTTTGCTGGTAGAGGGTCTTGCTTCACTGTTGATGACTACTGACTGGTTATGGTGTGGGTGCTAAAGGCTGAAATGGCTTTGGCAACTTCTCAAAATAAGAACAATGAAGTTTGCCAGATCAACTGACTCTTTGTTTCACAATTTCTCTGTAGCATGTGGTGCCATTTGATAGCATTTTACCCACAGAACTTTTCAAAATTGGAGTCAATCCTCTTCAACCCTGCCACTACTTTATCAACCAACTAAGTTTACATAATATTCCAAATCCTTGTTGACATTTCAACAATCTTCAGAGCGCATCTTCACCTGGAGTAGATTCTAGCTCAAGAAACTACTGTCTTTGCTCATCCATAAAAAGCAATTCCTAATACATTAAAGCTTTATCATGAGGTTGCAGCAATTCAGTCTCATCTTCAAGTTCCACTATTAATTCTAGTTCTCTTGCTATTTTCACATCTGGAGTTACTTCTTCCACTGAATTACTGAACCCCTCAAAGTCATTCACAAGAATTGGAATCAACTTCTTCCAAATTCCCATGTATGTGAACATTTTGACCTCTTCCCATGAATCATGAATGTTCTTAATGGCATCTACAATGGTGAATCCTTTCCAGGTTTTCAATGAATTTTGCCCAGATCCAGCAGAGGAATCACTATCGATGGCAGCTATAGCCTTACAAAATGCATTTCTTTCTTTCTTTCTTTTTTTTTTTTTTTGTAAATCCTTACATGAGGACATTTTTAAAGAGGGAGGGAGGGGAAGAGAGAAAGAAAGAAACACTGGTGTGAGAGAGTGAAACAATCATTCATTACCTTCTCATACGCATCCAACTGGGAATCGAACCTGCAACATAGGCAAGTGCCCTGAGAATGAAACTCGCAACCTTTTGGTCTACAAGATGATGCTCCAACCAAACCACCAGCCAGGGCACAAAATGTATTTCTTAAATAACAAGACTTTAAAGTCAAAATTACTCCTTAATCTATAAGTTGCAGAATATATGTTATGTTAAAAGGCATAAAAACAGTATCAATTTGTTAAATTTTCATCAGAGCATGAGTGATCAGAGGCATTGTCAGTGAACAGTAATATTTCGATAGAAATCTTTTTTTCTGAGCAGCTGGCCTCAAAAGTAGGCTTAAAATATTCAATAAACCATGTTGCAAACAGATGTGCTGTCATCCAGGCTTTGTTCCATTTGCAGAGCACAGGCAGAGTGGATTTAGGATAATTACTAATGGCCCTAGGATTTTCTGAATGGCAAATGAGCACTGGCTTCAACTTAGGCACCGGCTGAATCAGCCCCTAACAAGACAGTCAGCCTGTCCTTTGAAGCTTTGAAGCAAGGCACTGCTTTTTCCTTTCTAGCTATGAAAGTCTTAGATGGCATCATCTTCCAATGTAAGGAAGGTTGTTTGGTCTACATGGTAAATCTGTTGTTTAGTGTAGCCACCTTCTTTATCCCAGCTAGATCTTCTGGATAACTTGCTGCAGCTTCTACATCAGCATTTGTTGCTTCCCCTTGCACTTTTATGTTATGGAGATGGCTTCTTTCCTTTAACATCACAAACCAGCATCTACCAGCTTAAAACTTCTTTTGTAGCTTCCTCACCTCTCAGACTTCAGAAAATTGAAGAGTCAGAACCTTCCCCTGGATCAGGCTTTGGCTTAAGAGACTATCGTGGCTAGTTTGTTCTTTAATACAAAGACCACTAAAACAACAACAGGCTGTTTTACTTTCTTATCATTTGTGTGTTTACTGGAGTGGCACTTTCAATTTGCTTCAAGAACTTTTCCTTTGCATTCACAACTTGGTTAACTGCTGGCACACGAAGTCTAACTTTCATTCTGTCTCAGCTTTTGACATGCCTTCTTCACGAAGCTTGATCATTTTTAGTTTTTGATTTAAAGTAAGATTTATGCAACTCTTCCTTTTACTTGAACACTTAGAGGCCATTACACAGTTATTAACTGGCCTAATTTCCATATTCATGTGTCTCAAGGAGAAGGAGATGGGGGAAGAGCCAGTTGGTGCAGCAGTCAGAACACACTCAGCAGTTGGTGATTAAGTTACTCATCTTATAAGAACATGGCTCATAGTGCCCCAAAACAATTACAATAACAACATCAAAAATCATTGATCACAGATTACCATAATAAACATACTGTAGTAATAATTAAAAAGTATGAAATATTAAGAGAATTATTGAAATGTGCTACAGAGACACAAAGTGAGCAAATGATGCTGGAAAAATGGCGCTGATAGACTTGGCTTATCCCAGAGTTGCCACAAACCTTCATTTTATAAAAAACCACAGTACTGGCAAAGTGCAATAAAATGAATCCCACTAAAACAAGGTGTGCCTCTATATGTCCGTTTGTCTTGGTCCTTGGATTTTTTTGGATCTCCCACATGACTTGTAAGTTCCACAAGAACAGTCAGTTTCAAAGTAACAGCTGTGTATTCCTAAACTAGTACAGGGCCTGGCATAGTGGGCAGAAATACACTTACTGAATTAATAAATGTATTGAGAATGTCCTCAAACTGAGCCCTAGCTGGTGTGGCACAGTGGATTGAGTGCTGGAGAACCAAAGGGTTACCAGTTCAATTCCCAGTCTAGGGCACATGCCTGGGTTGTGGGCCAGGTCCCCAGTAGGGGGCATGCAAGAGGCAACCACACATTGATGTCTCCCTCTCTTTCTCCCTTCCTCTCTCTAAAACTAAATAAATTAAATCTTTTAATACAAATCCTCAAACTGAAAAATATTTAACAAAACAAATTATCCATGGTGTCCCTGGCTCCTAGGTAAGTCAACTTCCTTTACTGGTTTCCCATAACCTTTCCTGTGTTTCTTAAATAGTCCCTTCATTAAAATCAATTCAAAATCGTGGCTAAATATTTATGTTTCCTGCCTTGACTCTGACTGATAGTTTATGAACACAAATAGAAAAAGCAGATTAATGGTTTCTTAGGATTTTAGGTTAACTATTGATGTTTTACCCCTTGAAACATTCTATTTTCCAGTAATTTTTATGGTACAATTTTTTTAATATAGCAATTGTTCTTATTCCAATCTATTTCACCTTTATATTCTTTAAACTGGTATTCTTTAAAATTTAAGATTTACAATTAAGTAACTGATTACCTTTGTAATTACAACTACATCTTTGATTGTAGAAAAATGTATACTTGAACAGAAAATTTAACTTAAAAAGAAAAAATTAGAAAGTCCTCCTAGTACAGGAGAAAAGTTTCCAATGATGCATACATGTAAAATTGCTCTATGTTTTAAAAAGCTGAAGGCCAGAAAGGAAACCAAGTATATATACAATGAAATATTTGGTAATTGACTTAATAATTACCCATAATTTAAAAATTATTTTAATAAATAAATATTATAAATTTAATATAAATAGTTTAGTTTTATTAGGAATTAATACAGGTATTGTGGAAGCCTAAAGTTTATATAATGGGGGGAGGGGAAACCTCTTTATAAAGGAGGGGGAGAAAAAGAAAACTAAAAACAGGACTATTCATGTAATATTAGGTATAAGGCCAGGAACGACCCTAAGCAAGTAAGGGCCCTGATTGTTTAGGTTTCATGAGCTTCATTAAAAATCTACTTTGGGTAGCAAAACAGAGTACTTTTTTTCTTTCATTAAATTATATGTAGATGCTTAATACTAGTATTTATTGTATATATTAATAAAAAGAAAAAGTTTAACCTTAGAAATAATAATCTGAAATCTTACTTGATGTCAAATTTCAGTAATTTCAATGATATGTTTGCCCCCTTTATACAGTAAAAGTCATACAATTATGTAACGGTATAACTATATTAGAAGCAAAGTGTAGGAAGGATGTAATTAGTTGTTAATAACAACATGACTCTTAACTGAAGACTGATAACTTTTTAGTTTTTTTAAAAGAAGTGGCTGTGCTCCAAGTGAGAACTCAAAGAAAACAACGTAACTACAATTGGTGATGAATAGAATGCAATTCCTAGTAAGATATCCCAGAAATGACCAATCATTTTAACAATCAGAATTCAGTTAAAAGTAAAACTCAGTTTTGAACAAACTGAATTATATTCATTACAATTAATTTATTGAAAAACAAAAGTTTTGCAATTAAACATTCATTCGGAAACAAAATTGGGAGATCTATTAAACTTACAATCACCATGTTACTTATGAAGAAAATCATTATCTTAAAATAAATACCTCTGTCAAATAAAAATAGAATCTAAAACAAGGAAACTATAAAAGCCTTTCTTATCTTGGCATTTAACCCGAAGCGGTCTTAGCTAATGTCACTGTGACTTACTGATCGCACTCCTCCCGTGGGAGTGGGGAAAAGCAGGAAGAGGAAGAAATCTTGGCTTCCACCAAAATATTCAGACTACGCTGAGATGTACAACGAAAGTGGGTGTCATGATGAGCCATGCCGTGCTGGAGACTATGCTGCATGCTGCTGGGCCTCTGGGTGGGTTTGTGAGACCTGGGCACTCACTTTGAGGTCATGGAATCCCCTCCGCTCCCCAGAAACTTAGTTAAAAAAGGTTAAACACTGGCTGGCCCGTTCTACAGAAGGGCAATAAGCTTATTTGTTACAGTGGCTCTGAAATAACGGCTGAGTATAAAACAGGCATAGGCTGTCAGACATCTATGAACTTGACTGAAAGAGAAATCAAGCTGAGAGGAAGAATGTCCCCTCTGAGATTCCGACACCTTCAAAAACTGGGACAAGAATATCTTTTCCTCCCTTTCTCTTTATGACAATGAACGGGGCAGGAAAGGATGGCCCCTTCTCTTCAAACCAAAGCCTTTACCTCCATGACATTACAGCAGGTATAAAAATGATTTGTAAATATAGAAACGGGGAGGCTGATGATAAAATCTCCCTAGACAGTACTAAACTCTGGCTGAAAGCCTCTTAAAAAAACACATTTGTGCCAACCAAGTCTCACCCTCCCTTCCCCAAAGATGTGAGTTAAACCAAAAGAGGGGCAGACCATGCAAAATTTTTCTAATTTTTAATGTAGTGAATTTCTGATGTTAAAATGGAGTAGCATAAAAGTGATAACCAAAAAAGCAGCTCTTGCAGTCTAACATCTTAAAATTCACACCCTTTCACCTTGCATGTGTGGAAGAAGAAAGAGCAGAAGATAAAATCACTTCCACCTGGACCACTGCTTTTCTTTATCTGTTAAAGGCACGTATATCACTCCCATCAGCGGTTTCATTTTGACACTGCCATCTTGTAGCTTGTCATACTGCTCCAGCATCTGATTTCCACCCGCAGGGCCGACCGGCAATATCAATCTCCCACCAGGCTTTAACTGGTCTATTAGCTAAAGAGAGAAAAAACCACATCCACACCAAAGTTATAGATTTTATATTAATAGCCATTTTACATGTCCATAAACAGCCTTCAGTGTTCATGGGCAGAAAGTACAAATGTACTTTATTTGGTACACATATACTTTCATTGTTAAACTTATCACTCAATTCCCACTCATTTACTTATCTACCTCTCCTACTAAACTGCAAGTCTTTTGACCATAGGGACTGTGTCTTACTCGGTCTGGTACAACTGCAATGCTCAAATGTTTGAGCTGAACACATAATATAGAATTATCTTCTTGGGAAGGTTAAAGGCAAAGCTGAAAGTTCCAATGCCTTTCTGCTTGTTTTGAATCTTTGTGGTTTAGAGGGGAGTGTAGACATTCTGCAGGGAATCCCTATCATTGTAGAATTTAGGGCATCACTTAACCAGAGCTAAGGGGACCTTGGTTTTACAATGGAATTTAGGACTGCTGGTGCCGGGACGAAGGACAGTAGGGCTGCAGCCCCTGACGCGTTAGAACGAGGGCTCCCCTGTCCGTGAAGAGCCAAGGCCGCTCAATGAAAGCCCCTTCAGTCAGTTTGAAAGTCATGTTACCATTTAACTGTAGCTTTACAAATCACCGTTAATCACAAACAATGAGAAAGAAACCACACTTTGAAAAGTATTACCCCCCTCAAAAGGGTGTCTCAATTAAAATTTTGGTTGTCAGCAAGTTTGGTTGGTTGGTTGTTTTTTTTGCTATTTTAATCTTTATAAAGTAATATTTGCAACAATTGAGTTGGTTTTTTTAAATGTCAAGGTTTATGATGAAGAAGAGCAGGCTGCTTCCCTCCAATCTTGCTTCCTAAATCCAGTTATTTTAATCCTTATAGCTGTGTCTTCCATTGGTTACTTTTTATTTGGAGGTGCTTACTTCTAAAGCACATCTTTTCTTTTGAAGATTTTATTTATTTTTTTATTTATTTTTGGCACATTCTGTTAGTCACATCCCCTTCTCCATACACTATACAAATCTTTTTTCATTTCAGTTGCATTTTTACCTTTCTTGAAATAATAAAGCATAATATGCCAAAAATGTTGCATATGTTTTTCCATCTTCAATATATAATGGCTGCTCAGAAAATCACCAATTTTGATGTGTTTTTTTTTTTTTTAAAGATTTTATGTATTCATTTTTAGAGAAGGGAAGAGAGGGAGAGAAACATCAATGTGTGGTTGCCTCTCATATGCCTCCAACCAGGGACCCGGCCCGCAACCCACACATGTGCCCTGACTGGGAATCAAACGAGCGACCCTTTGGTTCGCAGGCCACTGTTCAATCCACTGAGCCACACAGGCCAGGGTTACTTGTCTAAATTGAGATATAACTGACACATAATATTGTATTAGTTTTAGGTATACAACATAACTCAATATATGTATTATGTTGCAAAATGATTACCATATTTTAAGTTCAACTGACATCCATCACCACACAGTTACGATTTTTTTCTTGTGATGAGGATTTTTAATATCTACTCTCTTAGCAACTTTCAAATATACAATACAGAATTACCTAGTTACCATGCTGTATAATATTTAATTTTATTTCAAATTATATACTAAATGAGGACTGAGCTCTCTTACATATACTCTCCTCCTTTCCCTCAATCCAACCAATACCTTGGTTTTTATTTAAACCACTTTCTGTTGTGACTGTAAATATAATTTGCAGCTGAGCCAAGAGGTATTAAAAGATTGTTTCCTTTTTTATATTGTACAATAGTTGTTTCTCTGCAGTTAAAAACCGAAGCTTTTTCTCTTTTCACTCAATTTCCTTTTTAACTGTGTTTGGGCAGAATCTCCCGGTGCCGCCTTTTGCTGCTCCAAATCTGGCCTGGGGGTTCTCCCGGCCTGCGGCACAGCCCTCACCCAGGGACTTCTCTCTGCAGTGACACTGGGAACTCTCATCCCCTCTCTTCTAAAACAGATATCCTGCCTTCCTGGATCTCACGGCTTCCTTGTTTGGTTTTTACCTACTGTCTCTCTCCTCCCTCATTTTTTGCTATTAAAGCAATTTCTCCAGAAAAATTCTGTGAAACAGTGCACAGACTATTGCAAAGGACAACAGTTGAGATTTCCAAGTCTAAAACTATCCTACCCATTTGGCAATATGTGTGGGTACAGAATTCCAGGTTGGAAATCATCTGCAGTTCAGAACTGCGATGGTGTGTTCCCTGCCTTATTGATTCCAATGTCGCTATTATATGGTCAGATGCCTTTCTGATTACAGATCCTTAACAGATTATCTTTTTTGCTTTTCTGGAAACTTGTAGGATCTTCTCTTTATATTTAACATTCTGAAATTTCACGGTGATATTGTGGTTTGTTTGGTATTTTTTTTAATTCATCATCCGGACACTCAATAGATCTGTTCATATTACAGAATCATGTCCTTCAGTTCTTAGAGATTTTCTTACATAGGACTGAGGCTTAATTGTCCCTTATAAAAATTTCAAGCCACAGCCCCTCTTTTCAGACCCAGGCCTCATCTCTGATTTCCCAGGTCCTGATGCCTCTCATTTCTACGTCTTTTCAGGGGTCTGCAGCACAAACCACTGCTGCAGTGACGGCACCCTCTGCGGTCTCCTTGGTTTGGTCTCCTCCATCCTGCAGAGTCATCAGCGCTCCAGCTGCTTTCCATCTTCACACACTACATAGCTCAGAACTGCACGTATAGTCTCCCACGCAGCTGAACATAGTTTCTGTTTCTGGCTTTCCTAGTTGCTTTGGGGTGACATACAAGAGGGGCATAAATATCTTTACACATTATCTTAAAACTGGAAAGCCCCTTCAGCATGTATATAGGACCCCTATAATACTTACAAGTGCTACTATGTTTAAAATCATATTGAGTTAAAGCTATGAATGTCCTTCAGGATCATCTTGGGTTCTTAGTGGAGAAAATGAGTCCTGCACCCAAGTCCCTTTATTTAAATACAGTTTTATTTCAGATTTTAATTGTCTGTACTAGGCTGCCAATATATTTTTTTAGTTAAAAAAAAAACAAAACTGCTGATCGTGAGTTCATAAATGAAAATTCTTTGAGTTATTTATGACTTGTATACCTTTCCATACCACGTTAATACTTCAACTAAAATGTGTTAAAAGCAGCCCTGGTCGGGTGGCTCCATTGGTTAGGGGACCATCCCGTACAACAAAAGGTTGTGGGTTCTGTTCTCTGTCAGGGCACATACCGAGGCTGCAGGTTCAATCCCTGGTTGTGGCATGTATGGGGGGCAACTGGTGGATGCTTCTCTTTCACATTGATGTTTCTCTCTCTTCCCCAACCCCTTCCTTTCTCTCTTAAATCAATAAACATATCCCCAGGTGAGGATTTTTTAAAAAATGTGTTAAAGCCACTGGTTTAGTAAAAAAAACAAACACAAAAATCAGGTAACAGAGCCAGACAGAATAAATGATTTTCCCACAGTGATGCAGTCAGTAGGTAGCAAGTCAATGATTACAAGAAATTCCGCAACTTTCAGCTTCTCATACCTGATCTAAACAACAACAAGAATCCTTTCTAGGTTGAGGAGTGGATCAGACTGGGCAGAAAATGTTACTTGTCATCTAGCCAAGAACTATGTAAAACTCATATAATAGCAACCTAAGATTTCAATAAATTAACCAAGAATTATTAAGAGCTAACATAAGCTTATCAGTCTTGCAAAATGAAAAATTAATTTTGTACTTAAAATATTTCCTTGACTATAATATATAATACTGGAATAGCCTTCCTTCTCATTGAAACAATACAAATTCTCTTACTCTGAACATCAGTTCAAGTTCCATTCCTGTATGAATATTCCTTATTACTCCATGCAAAATTCTTTCGTTACCTTGAATTCCTAAGGATTTTCATTTTATTCAATATATATCATATGCTAATGATGTGATATTACATCACTAATTTCCCTGTTATGGATATGACACATTTCCTCTAGGATATAAGCTTTGTGAGGGTAAAATGTAGGACAAATACTCCTTGGCTCTCCCAGACACCTAATCATCTTGTGTATTCTGGTATTACATAAAATATCAAGTGATTATCAGGTCATGAACTCTAGAGGCAGTTTCCCCATTCCACTGGCATTCTCGTTCTTTGCTAGTTCAAATATTGCTTCAAAAGACAGCCATGAGCTGGGGTTTGGTAACCTTGGCATCATTTATACAACTGTTTGCATATGGAAACAATAATCACCTACTAACTGTAACTAAAATGTACAACATAAAAGTCTAATTATATTTTGAGCATTACCTATAAGTCATTCCTCTCTAAATCTTTGAGAATTTTAGTTGAAAAAAGCACACAAACACAGAGAAAAAAAAAAACAACTCACTGCCTGGGGCACAACCGGGGCCGCAGCACCCACGTGAATAGCATCGTAAGGGGCTTCTTCAGCATATCCCATCCGTCCATCCCCAACTGAAAGAAAAGCAGTATGCTTTCAATACCTGTCCAGGTAGAACTACTTAGTGTGAAGATTTTAAAGCAGGGAAAGGACAGTTTTTGGTTTTTGTTTTTTCAGATAAATGATGGTGGGACCACTGAATCTGCATATGGAAAAAATATATACTTGGACCCCCTACCTCAGATATACACAAGAGTCAATGTCAGGAAGATCAAAGACCTAAATGTGAAAAGCTAAAAATAATAAGGGTTCTAAGAAATAATATAGAGAAATACCTTCATGACTTCAGAGTAGCCTTAAGCAGGGTACAGAAAGCACTGGAAAAAAATGTAAGTCTAGCTACATTAATATTAGAATTTCCATTTTATCATAAAGCACCTATATGAGAGTAAACAGGCATGCCACAGAGTGGGAGGAGATTTATAATATACAGAAAGAGGCAAAGGGCTAGTCTCTGGAAGTCCTACAAATCTAAGAAAAAGATAAACAACTCAATATCTGAACAGGCATTTCACAAAAAAGGAAACTAAATGGCCAAACATATGAAAGTGTTCAACCTCACTGGTTAATAGGAAAACACAAAATTAAAATCATAAAGAGATACTGTTATACACTCACTAAATGGACAAAAAGAAAAGTCTAATAATGCCAAATGCTGGTAGAGATATAGAGTAACAGAAATCCTGATAAATTGTTTCTGGGAATGTACATTGGTTCAATCATTTTAAAAAACAGTTTTGCTATGTCTATGGTAACCCTTAGAACCTACAATACTACTACGGAAATGAGTGCTCGCATAAGGTGTGAATCTGGATTTATGTAAATATATGTTCACAACAGCATTGTGAATATCCATGAATTAGAAATAACTCAAAATACCCATCTACAGTAGAATTAACAAGTTCTGGTGATGTTCTTCCAATGGAACGTTGTACAACAATAAAGATGAACTGTACGCAAAAAGTGGGTGAATCTTACAAACATAATATTGAATGAAATACGCCATTCATCATAGAATGTATACTGCATGGTTCCATTTATCTATAGTTCAAAATTAAATTAAATGTTACCTTTGGAAGTGCAATTAGGTAGTAAATGCACAGAAGTAATGATACTGGCTACCACTAGGGAGAAGGGATGGAATTATGATGAGGAAAAAGGAAGCTAAGGACTTCCAAGGTATAATAATGCTCCATTTCTTGATCAGTGTGGTAATTAAATGGGTATTTTATTAAGATTCACATTTATGTTTTATGCATTTTTTAATGTTTTCTTATTTTTTACAATACAAAGTGTACTCCTATGGAAATATTGTCACTTTATATTGCTGAGTATAAAAAAGCAAACTACAGGAAAATATGCACAGTATGAGTTAAACTCTGTGTGTGTGCAGTTCATTCGTACATATGTTTATGTTTAGAAAAGTTAAAAGGGAAAAGGAGAGGCTTTCTTTTTTACCTTAGACGTCTCTACACTGTTTAAATTTTTTTATAATGAATACTTGTTACTTCGGTATTACTTATATGTGGAATCTAATGAACAAAATAAACTAACAAACAAAATAGAAACATGCTCATAGAGACAGACAATAGACTGACGGCTGTCAGGGGAAGAAGGATGGGGACTGGGTGAAAAAGGTGAAGTGTTTTAAAGTAAAGAAAAAAACCCCACAGACACAGACAATAGCATGGCGATTATAAGAGGGAAAGGGGGTGGGGAGACAGAATTGGGTAAAGGGTTAAATGGTGATGGAAGAAGATTTAAATGGTGATGGATGGAGATTTGACTTGGGGTGGTGAACACACAATACAACATATAGATCATGTATTATAGAATTGTAAATCTGAAACCTATATAATTTTACTAATTTCACCCCAATAATTTTTTTTTAAAAAAGCAGTGAAGAAAGACCTTAACATGGGCACCTTCTGAAACAGTTAACAGTTATATCAGCCAAGGTCCCAAAGTCAAGGTAGAACTAGCATAACATTTTCAAGTAATTGTTTTCCAACTTAGTACTTAAAAGTGAATGTTTAAAACATGCAGTAATTAGCTCTGAGTATTATTTAGCTGCATGGGGATCTTTTGAAAATAAAAACTCTCCAGAGAGGAAAATTTTAAAGTTTTCTGATACTCACCGACCAGTTGCACTCTCCCTGAAGACAAAAGCATTGGGTCGTCCTTTCTGACGTTATTTATTGAGTCATCTACTAGCTCTTTAATGTGGTCAATTCCTACAACTTTTCCACTGGCTCCAACCTGGAAATGAGAATAATTCAATAGCTGACTGGTCTAAATTTGTCTTTCTTTTCTAATAAAATATTTTTTTAACTTATTTTTAGAGACAGGAAGAGAGGGAGAAAGAAAGGGAGAGAAACATCAATGTGTGGTTGCATTTCGTGCACCCCCTGCTGGGGACCTGGCCTGCAACCCAAGCATGTGCCCTACACTAGGAAGCAAACCGACAACCCTTTGGTTCGCAGGCCAGTGCTTAATCTACTGAGCCACAACAGCTAAGGCTAAACTTGTTCTAAATTGTCATTAAAGTATTCCTTATGTAAAGTCCTATTCTCAAATGAGAAATAAAGACAAACAGCTAAAGCCTCCGATTAGATTACTATTCAGTTTATTATAAATTATTTACCAAACAACTTTCTCGACTATAACCTTCAAATGAATAATTATATTTAAGTAACTAAAAAGCTAGAATTAGCCCTGGCTGGGTGGGTCAGTTGGTTGGAACATCATCCCATGCACCAAAAGGGTTGCCGGTTCGATCCCCAGTCCTGGATACGGGAGGCAAACTATTGATGTTTCTCTCTCTCACATTGATGTTTCTCTCTCTCTTTTTCTCTACCTTCCTCTCTAAAATCAATAAAAACATACCTTTGGGTGGACATTTTTAAAAACTAGACTAGATTATAAAAACTTGAAATACTAAGAAAAATGCTATCATTCTTTAATTTATAATTTTTAAATCCAGGACCATGATGGACGACTTAACTGTCAATATTAATGGTAGCTAATACAATCATTTTTACTTAAATTAAACCTAGAAGTGTGACTTTAAATACTAAAATATTACATAACATTTTATAGAGATTAAGATAATTTTATAGGAATTTCTATACCCAATTCTACTGCCATTTTGTGGAAAGTATAAAATACATAAAAATATAAAATGGCCCCAAATAGAAATATTAATTCTAAAAAAATTTAACACAGTAAAGACTTAGATGTCAGATTAGCTGAGTTCACATCTAAGTTTCATTACTACTTACAACTGTATAACCTTGGCAAGCTACTCCATGAATCACATTTCTCAGCTGTAACATGAGGAGTTAAGAGGTATATACCTCAAAAATGGCATGAGGATTAAATAAGAGAATATATGAAAAGCATTCAGAACACTGACCAGCATGTGCTAAATGTGTGAAAAACATTAAATTACCTAATTTTAAAAAAGAGAACTCAGAATTTAATGATTTTTTAAAAAATAAATTTCCCTTTGAAACTATAAATATCTCAAGTATAGAAAATAATCTCATTATTATTTCTAAGCTTTGGGGAAAAAAGGCCCTGACATCCCATTAGTGAGGGCTTACCTTCTATAAAATAAGGAAAAAAAAAAGAAAATATTGAACAGAACTATCTGCATCCTTATGTGCCAGACACCATTCTGAATGCTTAAGAAATGTCAAGGAAAAAAATCAGACAAAACTTCTATCTCTCTAGAACTTAACATGCTAGTGGTCTGCTGATTATACATGTATAGCAAGTTAAATGGCTTCTAGTCCAAGATGGACCCCTAAATCCCAAATTAACTAAACCAGAACCTTCCAATCCGGCCTCCAGGGAAAAGATTTTTCATAATTGACTTGATTTGATTATCTGAGCACAGCTGAACCTTTTCTCAAGGTGCTTGAGTAGGTCTCCAGGCTCACTCTGAACACTCTGGTAGTCATTTACCAAATAAGCCTCTGGTACTGTTAAGTTGAAGTATACTAAACAAGGCATTTTTCTAAGAGCACTTTTCTTCATTCCTAATAAGCCTGCAGGAGTATTTAGATATCAGAATTTACTATTTTCTGCCAGATGAGAATTTGGAAGAATATAGTCTGGGAGCTTAAGATCATAAGAGAAGGGCCCGTCTGATAATGAAGCCAACATGTGAAGATAAGCAAAGCCAAACCAAAAACCACAGAGAAACCCACTGTTGATAACATCTGATCTTCTGAATCCAGCCACATAAGAAGCCAGCCAAGCCTTTAGATGTTTTCATTATGTAAACCAAACAAACTCCCTTTTAGCTCTGCCAGTTTAGATAGAATGTTTTGTCACTTGCCAGAACAATAAAAAAATCTTAGTGATATATATTCCAACAGCTTCCTTGGTAGAATTAAAAAAACAAAAACAAAAACAAAAAACCTTCAGTAGCTTCTAATGAAAAAAATATACAGCCAAATCACACGCAGGACACGTAGAACTAAGCTTTTGTTGGGGCCAGAATGAAAAACAAAATAAAGGTCTTACCATACGTGCAAAACATGCAGTAAGGATTCCACTTCCAGATCCTACATCAAGAGCTTTAGCTCCTTCATGCAATTGGTCAAATAGAAGTTCTAGTGCATATGCGTGCTGCCAAAAGAAACAAAGCAAATATTTTCTTTTCAAGAATATATGTATCATAGCATATAAAGAAAGTTGCCAACTTCATACCAGTGTTACTACTATTGTCATCTACCAAGACAATGAAAACATATTATATAGTACTCACACCTACACAGGAAGTAAGAAAATTCTCATGGTTTGATTACATTCTTACATTTAATTAAAATGTTTCAGTAATTTTTGATCTCCTGTGTGCAAATTTTAAAATTTAATTAATTCAAAGCCAAAAGTTACACCCGGATTTACAGTGAAAAGTCTCTATCCCACCCCACTGCAACCACGCTCACGCCCAACCAGTCTCACTACCTAGAGGCAACCAGTATTACCAGTTTCTTATGCTGCCTTCCAAACATATCCATTCTATGTATATATAAGCAATGCATATGTGTCTTTTCATTTATTATATCCTGAAGAAACTTTCTAATCAATATTTAAGTAGCCTGTTCCTTTTTTTAATGGCTGAGGAGCATATTTTTGTATGGATGTATTATAGTAACAAACACCCCTAATGAAAGATATTTAAGGTAGCTCCACTCTCCAAGACCACAAAGAAATGAAATAATCTTAAAAGGTATATCTGCAGGATAATATAATAATCTTATAAAGTGTATCTATAGAATGAATTTCTAGAAGTGGAATTGAGAGGGCCAAAGGATATATTTTTATATTTACAGTACATATAAATTATAAATCAAATAAAATCATAATGATTATGCTTTGGATTAAACCTTGAAATAAAACTTTCACTACATTATCTTCTTTATAAACTTACATTTCCGTGCTTTTCTAAAATATGAGGTTAGAACTAATAAATGTTATCTTAAGAGCTGTCCTAGTATGTTCACTAAAAATCATCAAATCCTATAGCAATAAAACATTCACTACCAGAATTTAGTTGATAAAAATACACATTCATGCCCTGGCCATGTGGTTCAGTTGGTTGGAGCATCATCGCACCAAAAGGTTGTTGTAGGTTCGATCCCCAGTCAGGGTGCATCGGGGTACATATAGGAAGCAACCCATCGATGTTTTTCTCTCACATAGATGTTCCTTTCTCTCTCTCTCTCCCTCAAATCAGTAAAACATGTCCTTGGGTGAGGATTTAAAATTTTTTTTAATTACACATCCATGAATCTATAGTGATAATAAGTAAATACATACATACATCTATACATATATAAACAGAGAATAAGGGAAAATTGTTCCCAACCAATAAACATAGATGAAATGATAAACTTACAAAATCACCATTTGGCAACCATCTTAATAACAAATGAGTCAGGCAAAAATTATAAGTGAATGCTAAAGGCAGGGGGTTATAATTCGAGAAATAACAGAGTATTTACATAACCTTAAAGTGTTTGCCCAAGACACTTATTATAAAAGGGAAAACCATAATTTTACAGTGGAGTTCAGAAAAAAAAATTCTGAGTGAGGAAACCTAGTTGACATTACTTTAATCAGATGATAAAGTTAACATCATTAATGGAATATAATGACATCATCACATGACATTAGCTAAAACACATTACTTCTGGGATATTCCAGGCAAAAATGCATAGCCCATGTCTAATTATTAGAATACAGCAGATAAACCTAAATTAAGAGACATTCTTTAAAATGACTGGCTTGCATTCATAAAAATCTTCAAGACCATAAAAGATTGAAGAACTGTTCCAGATTAAAGAAGACTAAGACATGACAACTGAATAAAACTCTGATCCGCAATATCCTTTTCCTATAAAAGGCATTACTAGAGCAACTAATGATATCTAAATAAGGTCTATGAATTGGTTAACAGTGTTGTATTAATGTTAATTTCTTGATTTTGATAATTGTACTGTGATTATTTAAGAGAATGTTTCTAAAGATAAAAAGCATTCTGCTTGCAAATTACTCCCCAAGTTCTTGAAGAAATATATATATTTCATATATATATTTGTATATGTGCGCTTGTGTGTGTAGAGAGAAAGAGAAAGGAGAGGGAAAGGAGAAAGAAATAAAAAAGAAATTAATAAAGTAAATATGGTAAAATGCTAACATTCAGGGAGTATGGATAAAAGGTAAAGGAAATTCATTTGTATTCTTACATTTCTGTAAGTTTAAAATTCTGTTAAAATAAAAAAAATTAATCATCAGAAAGAAGTAATGTGTTCAAAATGGAGGACAGGCTGGAAACTCCCTATTTGGAAAACTAATTTAGGTGATAAAAGCCAGAATACTGGTTCCTCTAAGGACAGGAGTTGACTAGGAACGGGCATGAGGGAACCTTGTAGGATACAGGAAATGCTCTTTATCTCGATCTGGGTAGTGTTCACAAATATGCACACATGTAAACATTCATTGAGTTGTGTTAACAATCTGTGCACTTTACTGTGTGTATGTTATAACTTTAAAAAAAATAAAAAGTTAAATACCACTACGAAACAACCACATTCAGAATATGGGAAATTCAATAGAATAAATGAATGAGTTCTGTCAATAAATAAATAGCAAAAAGAAAGGGACTGTTAACATTTTTAAAAGAATAAAAAGACTAGAAAGATGCAATATATGGACCTTGTTTAGATCTTGAAAAAGCAAATCAACTGTAAAAAAAAATTCTTTTTGAAACACCTGGAAAAATTTGAATATGGATTAGATCAAAGATAACGTTAAGAAACACTGTTTGGCACGATGGGGCATTGTAGTTGTGTTTTGAAGTCTCTCAGATTTACACTGAAGTATTTAGGGGTAAAATATGTTTGAAATTTTCTTTAAAATGGTTCGACAAAAGGAAGTCATATAAATTCTTTTGCAAAGAGATTCTTGTCTAAAGAGTGAAAACCACCAATACTATGAAGAAAGTTTTGGATTAAATGCCAAAAGTACTGGATTCCGCTCGTTCTAAATTTATCAGCCCTATGACATTGGATATTATTTTTAGTTCATTGTTCTCAGTTTCCATGTCATTAAATATGTAAACACTGTTGCTATCCTTCTTTCTCCACAGAAGTATCATTGTTATTAAAAGTCATGATGTATTTAAAAAGTACTTTACAGATTCTGAAAGATTTACTAATGAAACATATAATGTTTACATTAAGAAAAAGTCAACCATTACAGCACAATGACTTCTTGCTGCTTCTCTTTAAGGTATTTCCAAGTCATTTATAAAGGTAAAATTAACAATTAGTTGATCTTTTACTTCTACTTAGTGTGTTTTTGGTAAACTCTCTATTAGGAAATCTTGTATATAGCTGTCAATCAGAAGACTCCCTCTTATGCTTGATTAAAGAATGAAATGACTTGGTTGGTCAAAAAAAATCTGGTAAACGCCCCCCTTTCCCTGTTCTCCTGCCATCCTGCCCCATCCCTTCCATTTCTGAACAGGTCATTCCTGAAGCCATTAAGATGGGCTGAGCAAGTAAGCTGACCATACCCAGAGGGCCAAGAGGGTAGCTGCAATGCCCAGTTAGAAGTGTCAGAACCCACGCAGGTTCAGGAGGGCACCTGTGTTCACACAGGGCAAAGGACTGAACCGAGAGTCAGACCGACGCTAGGTGAGGGTTCTGCATACCACGGTGGGTCCCTGCTAAGTGTCAGAGCATAAATGGTGGAGAAGGAGGAGTATCGGGGGGTGGGGACAGACAGTGATAGCAGTGGGAAATTGGTTTCAAACATGAGGATTGATCAACTAAATAAATATATTAAGGAAAGTGGAACCAGTCTTCTCCCTGTTAGAAAAGGAAGTTAAATATGGAAAGGGAGAAAGCAGGAAACTACAAAAACATATGCGTATAAATAAATAAGGAACAGACATTTATGATCTCAAAGTAAACCCTCATAAGATAATTATTAATTGCAAAAGCCAATAAGAGTAACTCTACAGTGGAGAAGACTGGCAGGCACCACCTTAATCAAGTGAGTATCATATCTTTAGAAATGGGACAAATCAAAATTGTACATTGTCTGATAGGACTATAAAGAGCACGCACCATCACTTCTGTGATATTCCCACCAAAGTGGCATAACCTGAGTCTAATCATGAGGAAAAATTAGACAACCCAAACTGAAGGACATCAACAAAAAAACTGGCCTGAGATCTTCAAATGACTCAGGCCATGAAATCAAAGCAAGCAAGCTAAGGAGCTGTCCCAGACTGATGGAGACTGAAAGAGGAGTGATCCTGTGGGCCCCTTTCTTACAGTGAGGACATCACAGGGACACCTGGAAATATTTGAAAGGAGGTTGAAGATAAAATGGTAGTAACGTGCCAATGTCCATGTCCTAGTTTTGGTGGTTATATTGTGGTTATATAGGTTATACTGCCTATTTCCTTGTTTGAAGGAAATATACCCCAAAGTATTCAAGGGTGATAGGGAACCATTTCACCAACTTACACTCAAGAAATAGATAAAGTTTCTTGATATTGTGCTTGCAACTTTTCTGTAAGTTTGAGATTGTTTCAAATTTTTTAAAAGTTTAATTGTATTGTCCCGGTCAGGTAGCTCATTTGGTTAGAGCATCATTCCAATACACTGCGGTTACAGGTTCAATGCCCAGTCAGGTACATACATGAATCAACCAATGAATGTATTAGTAAGTGGAACAACAAAATGATGTTTTCGCTCTCTCTCATCAATTAAAAAGAAAGGATATTGATTTTAAAAATTTTAACTTTATCTTTCATTGATGTTTCAAAATGATACTGTGGGATACTATCTCCAAATCATCAACCAGCATAGCAAGAAAGTGTTATTAGTATAATGACACTTAGCAATGTAGCTAAGAGATACATTGGATTAATTAACTTTTACTGAGGAAATTGCTGGGGATATTTTACTAAGTTAGTTATTGTTCTTAGACAAGAGGCTTAACCTGAAAGATGGAGCTTCTACAGAAAAAAAGTTTGTGTACGTTTTTGGAATGAAATCTGTAGTTTTTATCACATTCTTAATCATTACTCCCTGAAAGTTAATAATTTCCATTAATAAGGAAACAAGTCTCACACCATAAGAAAATAAAAATAACTGAAAAAAAAACAAGATAACTCCTATAATACCTGATTTTCCTGAATTAAAAAAATCAGAGGACTAGGAGGGACTTCTTTAAGGTACCAATCCCCAATCTCTAGGTAGTACTGTCCCAACTTAATTCCAAAAGAAACTCAATAAATTTTCTTCACTATCATGTTTGTGTAAGATTCATTTTTAAAAAAAGGGGTATACTAAGTTCTTAAAGTCTCATTCAGATTTAAATTGCAAGGCCATTAATCACGATTAGTTTTTTCATGTTTTTATCACTATAGGTATTTTTCTGGATAACCCATGCTCATCTCTAAATCTAAAACTTAACAGTTCTTTAAAGTTTATGTTTATAATTATAAAAAAATCCCAAACCCATTAAAAAAACTGGAAATACAATGAACACTATATTCTCCTCATATAATAAGTGACCAACTGTGTATACTGTGCTCTACTATTTTATCAAACCATCTAAAAACAGGCTGTAGACATGATACCTCATTCCTAAATATTTCAGCATGCATCTGCGGGGGAACCCATTCACTAGGGCATCTTGCTTCACAAACACATCACCATTATTATCACGCTCAAGAAAATCATCGATTTAGTATTACCCAACACATGTACCATACTCAAATTTCCCCTTTTGTCCTAAAAATGAGTCCTTTACAGCTGTTTTTCTCCCCAATCCATTCAAAGTTCATTCACTGCATTTGCCAATCTAGCATATTTTCCCTACCAACTCTCCTCCATCTACCACTTCTCTCTGTTCTTCAGAATACTGACTCCTTTAAGGAGTCCCATCTAGTTGTCCTCCTTACTACCCCATAATCTAGGTATATCAGTTTCCTCATGGTTAGATTCAGACAACGGCTTTTGGCAAGAGCACCCCACAGGGTTCACTGGGTATCTCCCATTGCATCACATCGGGCAGCGACAACGTTGGGCAATCTCACTATCGCACTTGCCAAGCTCAGCCACTCAGTACATGGGGTAATCACCAGGTCACTTTCTTTTCAAGGCCTATTTTTCTCTTGGTAATTGACAAGTAACATGTACAGTAATAATTTGAGACTACATGGATATTTTTGTTCCCCAACAACCTTCCTTTTAATAGTTTTAGATTAACTGATGATTACAAAACAGTGATTTTTTAAAAATTCCATCACTCTTTTCACTTTATTTTATTTTTAATCCTCACCTGAGGATATACTTGACTTTTTTTTTTTTTTAAGAGAAGAAGGGAGAGAGCGAGTGAGAAACATCAATTGGTTGCCTCCCGTATGTGCCCGTACCAGGGATGGAACCCATAACCTAGACGTGTGCCCTGACCTGAAGCCTTTTGGATATGGGATGATGTGCCAACCAACTGAGCAGGCCAGCTAGGGCTCCTTTCACATTTATTTACAGGCATTCTTCTTTCTTTTTTCCCCTGTCTTGCCTTTTTTTTTTTTAATCTCTAGGGACTTATGGATTTTGTTTCTTAATTCACTGTGTTACAATCGCTCGCCTTCATTATCTATCATTTTTTCACTCTCAGACTGTCCCCAACGTGGCCCCTGGGAGCCTCCTCCATCCTGCTCCTGTGTCCTTCAGACACTTCTCCAGCAGCCTCTGAGTGCTTCCTCACTTTCCAACATTCAGTCACTTCTCCAAGGAGCACTAATCTCTCTGAACATTAATGTTGTATATCTATAAAATGTAGTGATGTTTCACAATAAAAGAAATTAAGTATAATGCATGCTACAACATAGATAAACCTTGAAAATATTGTGCAAAATATAAAAACCCAGTCACAATAGGCTATATATTGTATAATTCTATTTATGTGAAATGTCTAGAATAGACAAAGAAATAAAAGGCAGCTGCTAGGACCTGGGCAGAATGAGGGATGAGAATGGGCAGCACTGGGTCCAGGGATCCTTTATGAGGTGATGAAAATGTTCTGGCATTAGATAGCAGTGATGTTTGCAAAACTCTAGGATAGACTAAAAACCACAGAACTGCATACTTTAAATGGACGGATTTTACAGTAGGTGAGTTAATATATTAATAAAGCTGTTATTGATAACTCATGCAGTATTTCCCTGAACATCTAGAAACATACTCCTTTAGTCAATTTCCCAAACAGGCTACATACCAATTCTTCAAAAACACTTTCAGGATTAAGTGAATGTTTTTATGTAAATCTTTTAGTTTAAGTAGTAGTTCAAACTACCTGCAGGAATTTTAAGACTATAACATTTTTTTAAGTAATTAATTTCTTTGAATATGTAACACATAAAAAAAATGTCCCTAGTCCATGATTTTTAAAAAAAAGAGACAGAAAAAAATTGATAAGATGTGAAGAATATAAGCAGATCTCACTTCCACTCCTGGCCCTCTCTATAATACGGCATCTAACGCCTTACCTTAGAAGAAATCTTTTCTAATCTTTATGCCTTTGGGAGGACACATGTATCCATCTGTGTATATCTGATTTTGTCAATTAAAGAATAGTTTAAATACATTTCTGCACTCTACTTTTATGCTTAATGATTCCTGAAGATCCTGCTACATTCATACTCACAGAGCTTCCACGTTTAAAAGTTTCACAATATTTCACTGCATGAATGTACTATAATTTATTAACCATCCACTCTTAGTGGATGATTACTGATTATTGTTATGTTTTATTCCTATAAATAATGTGCCAATGACTATGTTTAAGTCATTTTGCACTTGTACAAATATACTATGGTAGTATAAATATCTTGAAGTGAGACTAGAGAACCTACGGTATATTTCCCTTTTAATAGATATTGCCAGATTGCTTTCCAGCACTATCAATGTACTCTCCCACCAAAAAAAGTATGTGACTGTCAGTTTCCCCTTTCCAATACAAGGTATCAAACTTTAAAAACAATTTTTTTTTTATTTTTCAATTACAGCTGACATTCAATATTAGTTCCAGGTGTAGAGCATAATGATTAGACACTTAGGTAACTTACTAGGTGATCCCCTTCATAACAAGGTATCAAACTTTTTAACCTCTGATGATCCTTCTGGTAGCTGAAAAATGGTATTTCACTATAGCACTAATTTGCAATTTCCTAAATATAGTGAAAATGACATCTTTTCATTTAAATGCCAACCTTATTTTCTTGTACGTTACCCATTTTCTTTTGGACTTATTGGTCTTTTACTCCTTAATATACAGGATACACACATACATGAATACATGTATACATAAGAATTTGCACTATGCTATCTTATGTATTACAAATATTTCCCTTAGTTTTTCTCCTTTCACTTTTGTTTGTAACATTTCTTTCCGCTGTAGAAATCCCAAATTTTTAAGCTGCAAAACATCGGGGGGGTTTTTTTAATGTCAATTTTTTAATGGCTTCTTAGTCTTTTTTCATATTTTAAAGTAATTCTATTCAATGTTTATAAATAATTTTCCTGTATTTTTCTTCTAGTATAATTATCAGTTCACTATGAATGTATGTACAGAATTTATTTTACTATAAAGAAAGCTCTAAGTTTAAGTAAGAGCTTGTCCAAATCAAAATACTTGCAGAGTCAGGAAAGCTATTTTTGTTTTCACCAAAAACCAACAGAGTACTCATTCAAATAACTGACATTTAAACTCCAAGAAAATTTCCAGCAGATTGAAAGTACTAGATGACTTAAAATAGGTCCTTCTGAAAGTTATATAGCTTCAGAGCTGCTATACTTGACCAGCTCCTAATCAATTTTCCAAATAAAATCTGAAATTAATATTCAAATTGAGGTTTCTATATAGTATATCCATTATTTGAAATATTCTCTGGCTTAATTAAGTCATCACTAAATAACATTTTATATCGAATTTTTACATGATTAAATGCTAACCATAACCACCAAAAACTTCACTGACAGTCTCTATCAAGGAGAGTTCCCTTTTCTTTAAACCATTTTTACTAAAGAAAATCATCTTAACGGAAAAACGTGATCCTGTGATCCATTAGTACCAAATGACCCAAGTTCACTTACCATGTGTGGAGCACTGATTGTCGCCTGGAAACCTGCAAAAGAAGAAGAGAACTCCTGATATATTCAGCCATAAAAATATACCAAATGTTCCACGTAATTCATTTTCTAACATCCATAAATTACTTCTCACAATATTTTTCAATGTTATGACCGCAAGAAAATAAAACTTTTAATTTGTACTTTAGAGTAATGCCATGCAGTAGTTAAAATTAGGAAATCCAATCAAGCCGAAGGCTACTGTGCTCATCTACTACAACAGTATTTTTAAAGTTTTCTTCTCCTGTACAGTTGGCTAAGAAAGGAAGAATTCTGATAAGGTGGTAAATGTTTGACTTGTTTTCACTTCAGATTTATAAAAAGAAAATAAGCTTCCATATACAACAGGTATGCAAAATCTTTGCAAAATTCAACTTCTTTATATGTCCGGCAACTAGAGCACCCATCAATCAAAGTAGTTAAGAGACTAATAAACTACTTCAATTTACCCTTTATACTAACACCTGATGTAAATTCATACAATCTTTTTTTAGGTTTTAACTTTTAATTTCTTTCCTTCCAAGGTTGCTTTCTCAAAACTTATTTACCTGCCTCTGCGTCTGAAGCAGTTTTCACTGAGCGGTGGTAGCAGGTGCCTTCGGGGTTCAGAAGCCCCCCAGGATCTTCTCTGCTGGCTGTTACAGTGCTTCAAAAGGAGAAAGCATGGCAGCTGGCCGACAGGATCCTGAGGCACTTCTGAGCCTCAAAGGCGCCCACTGCCAAGGCTCAGCAGTTCAGCAAAAAACCTGCTTCAGGAGAAGGAGTTAAATATGGACTTTCTAAAACCAAGCACAGGTCAAATAATTCAGGGCAAGTGAAGCAAGGAAGTCAGTAACAACTTAAGTACACTTATTTCCTTTAGTACTGATTTTTAAAATTGATGCCAATGAAAAAAACAACAACCTTAGTCAATATTAAGGACCCTAAAGAAAACTCAGCACTCAGCTTAAACTGTAAATTTCATTAAAAGTATATTTTATGAAAATTTTTTAAAAAGTTATATATTAGAGAAAATAGAAAAGATACTTCTAACACATAACATTTTATTAAAACAGCATACAATTCAAATCAGCAAGGTAATAATAAATATCTGTGTACCAGTCAATTTTACTTACAAAAAATATACAGTAAGTAAGTAAAAAATGTGTCATTTTCAGAAATCCAAAGCTTACCTATTGATTGCGGAGAATCCATATAAGGGTTACATTTTGCATAGTGGGAGCGGTCAGTAGCCAGCATTACTTCAAATACTTTATCTGTCTTGATGATTCCATTTTCTGAAATGAATGAGGCAAATATTTTAAGCTGGGGGTAAGATGGTGAGATGTATTTTAGAATAATTACTTTGGCTGCACTGTGGAGACTGGGCTGAAAAACGAGATTGGAAGTTGTTGCAATGGCCCAGGTAATCACAATCTGATCTTTAATGATGATAGTAAGAATGAAGAAAAGTAGAAGGATGTGAAGCATATTTGGTAAGGTGGAGCAAAAGGAGGTTTCTAGTTGTTCATGTGGAAAATAATACAGTAATTGGTAAATAGTGATACATGAATAAACTCTGGGCCCTGGCTGCTGAGGCTCATTGGACTGAGCACTGGCAAACTGAGAAGTCGCCAGTTTGATTCTTGGTCAGGGCGCATGCCTGGGTTGTGGGCCAGGTCCCCAGTTGGGGACATGCAAGAAGCAACCAATCAATGTTTCTCTCACACAACAATGTTTCTCTCCCTCTCTTTTTCCCTCCCTTCCCCTCTAAAAAAAGAAGAAAGAAAGAATAAACTCTGTGTTTCCCTTACTCATTAATCCTACTTTTGCCCCACCCTGTATAAACCTGACGAGTAGAGAGGCAGATAATGGTTGAGATGATGTCATATATTGATTTGAGAAATACTGGAAAAGGATCAGAGTTAAGGAGGAAAAGGATAACTAATTTATTCAGTTAAGGGCTATGATCCACACAAATAGAGATATTCAATAGCTAGCTAAACATGTGGATCTGGGGCTCAGGAAAGAGATCTAAGTTAGAGATAATAGATTTCTAGTTATATAGATGTCAACTGAAGCAATGCAAGTGAACTAAAGTGGCCAGAAATGGTCACATAAAGAAGAAAAAGAAAGATAAACATTTAAGAGATATGCAAAAGAAGTAGAGCCTTTAAAGATTATGACAAGGAGCAACCACGGTGTCGGATGAAAATCAAGCAGATAAACTGACAGAGTCCAAGAGAAACAAATTTTTCAAAAAGTAAACCAATATTAATAGTATATATATTTGGTTCCCCCAACTATCAATTCCTTAAGATTAAATATAGTATGTTAAACTTCAATAACCCTCATCGTACCATGCATATAGCTAGTTTTTCAATAAAGCCCTTATCAAGTCAATATATTTATTGACTAATACATACCCAACACAGTGCTACATGCTTAGGATTATAACAATAAACAAGATAGCATAGTTCCTGTACTCACAGACCTAAGATCTGTAAGATTAAATGTATCAAATTGACTTTCGCAATCCAGAAATAAATTTTTTAACCAAACCGATTTAGCTAAAAGCCATTGAATTTTACAATATAATTGGATGAATATGGTATGGAATTATACCTGAGAAAAGCTGTTTTTTAAAAAAATTAGTGGGACCAGAGGTGGCAACCAAGAGAAGCACTATTTCTGGAGGACAACCAGATAAACAGGGAAAGGATGGTGCCTCTTGAAGTAACAATGAAGTGAGAGAAGGAAGAAAACTAAGGATCCTACAGAAACAAAAGAGCAACAAGATATGCCAACCCCTTCCCTTTTCTCACCACCACTATCATCCATCATCCATTAAAGCGCATGTCACCGTACTGGCAAAAGCTCCTGAACTGTTAAAGTAGGAAAAAGGGGAAAAAAATACTCCATTCAAAACTACTGGAAACAAAAGATAACAGAAGACATTTCCACAAATTAAAAAGAATCCAATATTTAAAACAATATTCTAAAAAAACCTTGCAGAGAGTAAGTATTGAATACAAGTATTTCTAGAAACAATCAACTTCAAGACATCTGTTAATAAAACTATCAGATTTTAAAGGCGACCCCCCCAAAAAAAACAACCCCCAAAAAATACACCTCTTCAGAGTCTCAAGGCAAAAGATGAAATTACCTAATAGGGGTAAAAATAAAAATAGGCATTCAGGTTTCTTATGTTTTCAACCATCAACATTCAAAGAAAAATAAGAATGAAGCTGAGTTTTCAAGAAATTCAGGGAAAATGAAGTCAACAAAATGGGAGTCAACTACTGATGCACTCAACAACGTGGATGAATCGCAAGAACACTAATCTCAGCAAAAGAAGCCAGACAAGAAGACTATACATCATAGATTCCAATTATCTCAAAGTCTAGAAAAGTCAAAACTATAGTGGCAGGGGTGACTGGTGGTTGCTAGGGGTTGGGGATGAAAAAAGGAGAGCAATTGCAAAGCGGCATGAAAGAACTCATGGGTGAAAGAAATGTTCTATATCAGGTATCAGCAAACAGTTGTGAAGGTCCAAATAGTAAATAGTTTAGGCTTTGCAGGCCAGATGGTCTCCATTGCAACTATTCAACTCTGCCGATGTACTAGCAACAACGGCCATAGACAATACTATATGATAGGATGTGGCTGTGTTAAAATGAATCTTTACTTCCAAAATAGGAAGCAGGTCAGATTTGGCCTGTCGGGTACAGTTTGCTGACCTTTGTCCTATTATCAATAGGATGGTAGTTAAGATTGTATTCATTTGTCAAATTTTTCAAATTTAGCCTTAAAATTTGGTGAATTTTCATGTAAATTCTACCTCAATAAAGTTGATTTCTTTAAAGTGTAAGCCAAGGATTTTATGTCCAGCCAAGATGTCCTTCAAATGTCAAGGCCATAGGGAAGAAAAAACAAACACCAAAAAACATTTTCCATGTGCCAGAGCTCAGGGAACGTTGTACACATTAGCCCTTCCTGAAGAATCTTGTAGAGATGTGCTTCGTCTAACCAAGGGATAACTGGAAATATATCAGCAAAGAACACATAAATTGCACAGCAAAGACTAAATAAGGGAGGAGACATGGGTGCTATATGTTCTAGGTTCTGACAAAGTAGAATGAAAGAAACTAAAAACAACTGGAGGAGAAAAAGGGCAAAAGTAGAATTAGAACACTGTCATACAGGTAATAGGAGGAATCAAAGGACACTACTTAATACTGACTAGATGGTAAACAGTTAAGAAAAAGGTAGGTTAAAGACACTATAAAAGATATAAATACAAACCCTACAAATAAGAGTATTTTTAAAAATCAGCAAACAAGGCAGGCACACCAAATAGAAAAACACAGTAAATAGTCATAGTCTGGCATAGACAAACTTATATCATGTTTCCATTTTTAAAAGTTTTAGATAAAGTAACCCAAAAAGAAAATATTATCAGGTTGGTCAAAAAGTCTATATGGTTTTTTTCTGTAAAACAAAAGGTACATTTTTTTCATTTTCACCAATAACTTTATTGATTTGGATTATTTTGAGTATGTTGGCTATCTTCTGCACAGGACAACATGGACTGTTCTCAGTGAATGTCTCAATTTGATAGCTATCAGCTCCAACTGGTCTACCGACTGTGGCGCACTATCCGGCGACAAATCTCCAACACAAAATTTTGCAAACCACTTTTGACACGTTCAATCAGTCACAGCGTCTTCTCAATATACTGCACAAATCTTTTTTTGTGTTTCAGTTGCATTTTTACCTTTTTTGAAATAATAAAGCATAATATGCTGGAAATGTTGCATATTTTCTTCCATCTTCAATATCAAAATGTCTACACAAAAATTCACCAATTTTGATAAGCTTTTTTTTTAAATGCAAGCTGATAATGACAGCTGTCACAATACAATCTAACAAAACTGTTTTGAATGAAGTTAAAGATAACTAAGTTCTACTAAAGCCATCTTACTGAAGAAAAAACAAACTTTTTGGCCAACCCAATATTTCTACACAAACAAGATTAAGCAAGCTACCTGAAAAGGTTATTAAAATAAAATAGTGAAAGCATTTTTTTAAGTTTTAAATCAGAGTAAGAATAGATATCATTTATTGCATATTTACCATGTGCCAGACAAAATCCTAAGCACACTGTATATACTATCACTTTTAAGATATGAACTTATATAGACTATAAACTATGAAACAATCTTACATTATCTCTTACAGTGCTATAAAGTAAGCACTATTATTACTACATTTTACAGATGATGAAATTGAGTTTAGATGAGAGACTTAAGTTGTTCAAAATGACAGAGTGAATAACAGGTAAGGGCCATTCAAAATGTGGTACCAGATTCCTACTGACTACTTCACTGTACTTCTACTGACATATTCAAAGAGTTCAGTGACTTCTATTAATTCATTTCCCAAAATAAATCTTGAGTCGTTCATTAGCCCTGAACCCAACTCAAATTCCAGAGAGGTGATTCATAGATTCTCCAGGTCACAGTGGCCTTAGAAGCCATCAAGTCTAACTTCATAAATGAGTGCCAGGATCCCTGCTTGCAGAGTTCCACTGTCAACAGAACACTTCCCTGTATTAAGATGAAATCTCCCTCCTTATAACCCATTTACAAGACTCCTCAGTGCTGCTCTCTTTCTGAAGCCACAAAGAATACATGGAATTTTCTACCCGGCGAACCTTTTTTATACATCTAAAGACATATCATGGCCACTTCAAGCCTGGTCTTTTTCAGGTTAAGCAGCCTCACTCAATAATTCCAATTTTAATTTATTCATTCTTTTTTTAAAGATTTTATTTATTTTTAGAGAGAGGAATTCCCAGGTATGTGCCCTGATTGGGGACTGAACCGGCGACCCTTTGATTCACAGGCTTGCACTCAATCCACTGAGCCACACCAGCCAGAGCCATTATTCATTCTTGTCTAGATGGATACTTGAAGTATGATATCTAAAGTCAAACATATTGCTCCAGGCATATTCTAAAAATCAAAGTAAGTTATAGAGATCACTTCCCTTAAACTAGATAATATACTTCTATCACACTCATGTGAGTTTCTTGGCTGCTTTCTTAATCTGTAGAGGTATATGGAATTTACTAAAAACCCTATAGTTTTTAAAAGCATGTCACTAGTCATTTATTAAAAAGTCGAACACATCAAGACTTAGAATAAGCTTTCTTAGGCCATTATCGGGTATTTTCCAGTACTTTCACCACAATGTTCTTGTTATTTATTTTTGCCCGTAACTCCATTATGTTAAA